CAGCTGTGTTTATTGTGTATGAACAAATACTTAAGTGTTCTTTCATGTATCAAGGAGCAGAAATCCTCTATTGTATACTCTCATGGGAAACGGGAACAGAGAACAAGGCTGTCCTGGCCAGTGTCTCAATTAGCAGGAGGGCCTCCATTTCTTCCCCAGCCCACACTTCAAAAAGAACATTCTAGCCACTGGATTGACCACAAAACTCACCACTTAACCTGCCTCTGTCCCCTCGGGCTTTGCCCTCCTTTCTCTTACAGTAAAATGTTTATAGGCCAGTCAAAAGCCAGTCATCATTTGTGGTTTGGATCCTGTCACCTGGGTAAAAATGTGATTCTGGAACATCCCCTTTTGCACCAGTGACTGCTTCTCCGCACCACTCCCATCAACACACACCGCCCTCTAATGCCACCCCTCCCCTAGCAGTCTCATTTCCCTAACAGTGAAGCTTCACTCTCACTCTGCAGTCGTCTTCTCAGTATGGTTCATCCAGGCTGGGAATTTCAATTCTCCCCGCCCCCAAACGTGATAAATACAGTGACACTCATGTAAAGCCCCCGCCCCGCCCCAGCACTCAGTTTTCTAGACCTTCACCCTCATCCACCTCTGTGGCTCTGTGGCTCCTCCTCCACAGCATTACTAAATAACAATACTAAGCGTCTGAGAACGGATTCGCCACCTCAGCCACCTCAGAATGTCATCCCTACCCACTTTGGTTCTATTGGAAAGTTGACAGGACACGCCCTTCAGCAGATGGGAAGGAAAGCCCTGGAGAGAGGCTGTGGGGAAAGAGTGGTCAGGGGCTGTTTGGAGGCAAGGGCTAAGGGCAAGAAATCCGGGACAGAACTGGGCCAATGGCAGTGGAGATACGAGGACAAGAATGGGGACAGGCAGACATAGCCTGGGCACACTACAGTGAGCTGCAGGTGAGACTAGGAGAGAGGAGGGGGATGGCAAAGGGCGTAACCTCAGAGAGCACTGCCCTAGAGAAAGGACACAGGGACACTTGCTGTGTCCATGACACTTCAGTTGTCATTGCTGTGATAAAATACCCTGACAAAAGCCCTTGGGAGAGAAAGTTCTAGAGTACAGCCTGTCATTTGGGGGGACTCAGAGACAGCTGATCATATTGCACCCGTAGGCCAGAAACAGCAAACATGCTTATCTCCTTCTCCCCTTTGCATTCAGTCTAGGACCCAGTTCAGGGTGAGTCCCCCCAACTCACTTAACCAACATAATTAGCAAACTGAGTCACAAGCATGCTTACAGGCCAACTAATCTAGATAGTGCCTCATTGAGCCTTCCAGGTGATCCCAGATGCAGCCTAGTGGACAGTGGAGACCCCAGAAAGGCACTGCCTAATTTATACAATTAGGGGTCTCAAGTAAGTCCAGGAGGCTGAGGGCTATCCACTCTTTAAAAAAAAAAAAAAAATAGGTACCACTGCCATGAGGACCAGCCTCCAGCAGCACAGAGCTCAATGGGGATCCAGGGAGTCATTGAACTAGGGCAAGCAGACACATGAGGACTTTTCTGAGGGGCAAAACTTAGTTCTTCATTTTATTATTCCTACTGTTGCTTTTTCTACTCTACTGATGTTTCCCTTCTGTCTGTCTTCTAACTTTCTTTCTATATCTTTCCTGGTGTTTTCCTTCTCTCATTCTTGATGTTTTCTTTCTAGCTGACTTTATTTTTTTCTTTACAGCCTATATACCCCTGCAAAATCTTTCAGGCAATATAAAAATTACAATGTGGTTACATTCTATTTTTCAAGTGAATAATTACAATGAATACAGGTTAAAGTTTTCCATTTCCCTTACATGATTAAACCAAAGTCATCCAAGAACCCACATACATTCATATCTAAGTAACTTGCTATAGATTAACAGAGTGTAAGCAAGCAGGGTATTTTTCTCAGCCAGTTCTTTCACTGGCAGGCTGCATATTGCAGTTACAAAGAAAGATTCAGTCACTTTATTATTTATCCTGAAAGTTAATCTTATAAGGAGTCTTAAAGGAATCACTAACCTAAAGTTTTATATATGAAAATCAACCAGTCCACTCTACTTTAAATCTTTAGGGTGTATACCCACTCATCAACAGTTTGTTTTTTTTTATATCAGGAAGTTGAGAGCAGAAATGGGTACAAGGAATTGATCATCTTTGGTCACCAACCAATCCTAGCAAGGAATGTATGTCAGATAATAATAACTGGACTGCTTTGTTTTTGATCCCTAATCTTAATGATTCCCTCACTCAGCTAAGTGTCCTTTTAAAGCTGTAGGTTATCTTCCTGGGTTTTTCACCTCAAAGCTATTTGACAAAAAACATCATAGTCTAAGCTTGTTATTTTCAAAGCTTTGTTTCCATTATGATGCACTCTGAAACCTGCAAACACATCTCCCAACATTAAGATTAGAAGAACTTAAGCTAGCTGGACTCCTGGGACTCAATTGTTTTTCTTAATCATTAATCTAAGCCACAGTCTGTACGGCTCTTCAGTAGAAACTCATGTGTTCTAGCTGTGTGACACTTCCTTGTTTTATTTTTTTTATCCTCTGAAGCCTCTGCTTTATCAGAGGCAGGGGCAACATTTTATCCTACCTTTACCTATGTTAATTTTTTCCACTAAACTAACCTCTGTCACCATCCTTCACTATTTATTTAAAATGTTCAATCATCAAAATCCTATTTAACACATTATTATATAAAATCATTGTTTCAGTTAAACATTACAGACAGATCAGGAGGAAATCATCTTCATAATAACCCACAGGTACAAATGCCCAATAGAATGGGATATTTCCAAAAGATGATCATACTGCATCAGGGGCAGTAGGGATCTCCCCATGCCCATTCACACTATGCCAGATCCGGGGAAAAATGGCAGCGGCACACATGCAAAGACACAGCAGTGCTGCAGACTGAAGCTAGGGTCTAGTTGTGCCATATGAGAGCTCTACCACTGACTTGTCTGAGACAGGATCTCTCTATAGTTGCCCAGGCAGTCCTTGAACTTGTGATCCTCCTGCCTCAGGCTTCTGAGTATATTTGATTACAAGGCTGTGCCACCAGGCCCTGCCAGATGTGTTCTAAGTTTATCTTAGCTGGTTGGGCATAGTGACGCAGCCTCAAAAAGCATGCTCTCATTTTCATTTACCCTACATACTGGGAATTGATAACCATTCCACGTACACTTTCAAGACCATCTTCATCTCTTGTCACCAGAAGAGTTTGGGGTTCAAACCTGACTTGTGGGTCCAGGATGGTCAGCCATCTCAGACCTCCTTGTGTTTGACATGTTTGGCTTTCTTCTTTCAACATGGGACTACCCAGTAAGGGTTGAGGATCCCGCTCAGGTGCTAGGTTTTCTGTAGTGTCTTCCTGGAACCTTCTCTACAGACCAGGGCTATTTCCCACCAGCTTCTCCCACCAGTTTCTCCCACCAGCTCCTCCAGTGCAGGACCATCACTCTGTGCAGGGATCCTGAACAGTTCATTTCACTTTCTATACACAAGTGCCCTTGTGATCTTTACCTGTTTTTCCTTGCATCCTCAGCATCTCTGGAGCTTGCTATGTGGACCAGGCTGGCTATAAACTCTGCCTCTGTTTCCTGAGTGCTGGGATTAAAGGTGTGCACTATCATGCCTAGCTCCCTGCAACCTGCCTTGTTTTAAAACAGAGCAAACAGAGATTTGTGAAGAGGTGAGAAAGAGCTCCTGGGAGTGGGAAGGTCTCCAAGGGAGCAATGCCCATTTAATGTTTCTTGGAGCCATGTGCCAAGGGAGGTGTGTTTGAGATACCCTGTAGGGAAAAGGATGCCGATGCCTCCCTGGACACACCTTAAGTCAGTGTTTCTGCACAGAGGCCTGCTTTGGACAGCCTGGGCTGGCTTTCTTTCACTAGTTTTATCCCATTGGTGTGAAGATTCCAGACTCAGCTGTCTTTGTAATCGTTACCTTTCCCAGCATGCGAGATCCTAGAGGATCCCTGGAAGCGTGAACTATAAGGGCTGGGTGGCTGCCCAACTTTCACGCTCACTTTACTGAAAGAAGACACACTATGGCTGCAGCTCTCTTAACTGGTCACAAGTTATGTTCAATGTTTTCATATGAGTTTAAAATATTCTGATTTTTTCCTTTTTGCTTTTTTTCTTTAAAATGAATTAGTTGAATTCCTGAGCATGTCAATCCATCTGACCCAGTGCTATCTGGGTCTCCCCTTCAGCTTGCACTTTACCTGTCTGAAGCCCTCCGGGGTCTTAAACCTGTCATCCACCAGCTGTGCCATCTGACCTCCTCCCCAAAGAGAGTAGCTGTCTGAACCACTGTGGGAGGTTCTGGTAGACCACCTGTCTAGCTGTTCCAAGGCTCAAGCAAACACCACATTTTCTGTTTCCAAGTTCTGATAGGACCTGGCTTATAGAGTTCTCCAACAAAGACAGAGTGGTGGTAGCTTGACTTATTCAGCATGTCCTTCAAAATCAGTTACGTGCTCCACACATACTCACCCTTGCACCTAACTGACTAATGGAAGTGTAACACTGACATGGTGAGATGAAATGATTTCCAAATTTCTACCACCAGAGTGTGTTGATCCACAACTACACTTTCAGCCTTGTTTGGAGATTTGACAAAGAGATGGAATGGGGTAAAGGAAAGCCTGGAGGCAGGAAAGCAAGCAGGATATAACATCCATAGGTCACATGTTTGGTGTGCAAACACAGGGACCTCATTCACATTCCCAAAACCCACGTTTAAAAAAAGCCAGGTATGTGCTACATGCTCTAGTCTCAGCACTGTGGAGATGGAGACAGGAGGATTCCTGGGGCTTGCTGGCCAAACAGCCCACTTATTTGGTAAACTCTCCGCCAACAAGAGACTCTGTCCTAAAACAACATGGATGAGTCCTGTGGAGGGACACACACGTTTGCCCTCCACATTAGATATGCAAGCACACACATGCACACATACAAATAAATTCACATAACACTCCAGGCATGAATATTTAATCGTGTATTACTGTCAGTCAATTCACATGGAGAAAGAACATTCTTTATAGCATTCATCAAGATGACTTAACAAGGTCATGGACTTTGAGTGATTTTCTAATCTTGGCCTGTAAGAAAGAAAGAATATGAAGTTAAAATGGGGAGAGAATACTAAAATGGTGAATACAGTAAAAAGAAAAAAATACACAATTACTTTGGCATGCTTGCCTTTCACTTTTAAGAAGTTGTCCTTTAGGATCAAACTATGAGACCTTAAAAAGATGAAGCTTTTCAACACATGGTGTGTGGATCATGCTCAGTGTGGACCACCCTTGATGCATGTGAATAAAATACTGGGCCCAGTCTCATATTTAATAGGATCCTAATTTACTTAGGTCAAGAATCAGCTTTGAAATGAAAACCTACAAAATCTCCTTGCAAGTGATGAACTAGGAGCAAAAATTAGACACCAGTGGGGGTGGAGATGAATCTGACTGGGAGCACTTGCTGCTCTTGCAGAGGATGGAGTTTGGTTCCCAGCACACCTGTCAGGTGGCTCACAACAGCCGGCAACTCCAGGTCCAGGGGGTGCAAAGAATCTGGCCCCTGTGGTCACCTGTACTCACATGTATATACCCACAAAAAGACATATACATACATGAAATAAAAATGTGTTTTAAAAAGTTATATATCTGGGACTGTTTTTCTTTCTTTTTTTTTTTAAAATACCACTGTTTCTATTGCCAGAGACAACTGAACAAATTGGCACGATAATTTTGAGACAATGCAGAGGAAGTCTCAAGCTGTACTGAACTGTGCACGGAGGTCAGAGGTCAATCAAGACTTCAGAGTTCATCATGGCTGAAGCCTAAAGGGCTCTGATGTCATCACACAGATGGACTTAGCAGCTGGAGAGTGCCTTGTGACCTCTTTCCCTTGTTTCAAAGTCAATAAATCCATATCAATAAGCCTCAAATTCAGTGTAAAAATAAGCTATGTGATAAGTAGGCAAATGTCTCAACTGGCAGATGTATATAATTATATGAAAAATATTTTTAAATAATTTCTAGGGGAAAAATTCATAGTATGTTTCTGCAAGTCAAAGAAAATCCATACTATTTTGGAAATCAAAACTCCTGAGCAGAATTAAACTAATGTTTTCAAAGTGATCATATAAAATAACTGATTTTTTTCTAAATTTCCAACTTCAGTCTATTACTGCTGAAGCTAGAACCCAACTCTGTACTTACAGTCAACCTACAAGATTGTGTACATATCCTACAGCACTGGGCTGCGTGACCAGACTCTTCTAAAATGACACATTTTAAGATTTCATGTTAGTGAAGGGAGTCAGTTTATAAACGTGGAGAAAGTGATAAGCACCTCAGCTCATTATCTTGCTTATAGCTTCTACAAGGGCAGGCAACCTGGCTTTCTAATTCAGGCTCTACAGAAACTTTATTGTAACTTGGTAGGTGGAATGTGCCTGTAATCTCAAAACTTGGGAGCATTTGGTGGAAGGATTGTATATTTAATCTGTTCTGCATAGCAAAAAATAGTTCATAAAACCAACCCAGACATAAGACCATCTCAAAATAATATAAAAAAAAAAACCTGTTTTTGACACTAAACTTTGCAGGCTAGCCTCCAAAATTAGATATGTGCCACTTTGTTAGGCCTACAAGAAAACTTTGATCAAGCAACTATTTATACTAGGAAAATATGAAATACTTCATATTTATCTTTTTTATCTTAAATATAAAGGGTAGATAAAAAATAAGGGGTAGATTTTTTAAATGTATAATTTACTATATCTATTTTAAAGACTTTTTTTAAAGGAAGGAAAGCTTACCTTGGCCTTCTGACATTCTCTTTAGGCATTCTAATTATATCTTCCAAATGTCTATTTCTCTCTTCCAAACTGAAGGAAGAAACAATTGAATTTTACCCCAAAATGGAATTTTCAAGGTTAGTGTTTTATAGGTTCTCTGGAGGCTGTATTAGTCACTGTTCTGTTGCTGTGAACACACCATGACCACACAACTCTATTTATAAAGGAAAGCATTTAATCAGGGGCTTTCTTAGACTTTTAGAGGGTTGGGCCATTATCATCAGCAGGCAGGCATGGCTTTGGAGCAGTAGATGAGAGCTTTACATCTGGATCCACAGACAGCAGGCAGAGGGAGACAGACACTGGACCTGGTGTAGGCTTTTGAAGCCTCCAAGCCCACCTCCAGTGACACACTTTCTCCAGAAAGGCCACACCCCCTAATCCTTCTCAAACAGTTCCACTAACTGAGGAACAAGCATTCAAACATGAGGCTACAGGGCCATTCTCATTCAAACCAGCACAGAGACTGTGAGTGTATATACTGCAGGATTATGCACTAAGATTGTTGTCTATAATAAAATTACCCTGTTACAGATTTTATGATCAGATTTTTTCTCATAACTAACATTAAATCCAAAGCTAATCAGACAGCATCTGTCCATCTCACAATTCAGGAAATCTGGGTCTTTTCTTGGCAATTCAGAACACTTGGTCAATTTTTCCCTTTATGGGTTCCAGAGCTAAAGGTAAGAATAGATAATGGCAAATCTATAGCATACCATTTAGATATTTGTTTGCACAGTGGGTCAGTGTACTATAACCCTGGAGTGTGTTAACAGAATTCCTGATCTGAGCTGCTTTACCACAGGGAAATGTTTGGTATGGTCACAGCATTCTGTTGGCCTGTTAGAGATTTTCCTGTTTTCATGCATTTAGAGACGGAGATAGACAGACAGACAGACAGACACACACACAGACACACACACACACACACACACACACACAGAGAGAGAGAGAGAGAGAGAGAGAGAGAGAGAGAGAGAGAGAGATTGATCCAAGCAGGAGACATTTAGAATCTCAAATACATGCTTTGGGACACATAGTCAAGACATAAAAAAGTTCAAAACAAACGAGAAAAAGAAGCCAACTTATCTACAAAGGCAAACACAACACATGGAACCTCTCAAAGGAAACCCTAAAATCCAGTAAAGAATGGAATGTTATATTTCAAGACCTAGAAGCAAATAACTTCCAAATAAGATTGTTGTATCCCACAAAATTGTCTTTCAGAATGATAGAGAAATAAGGATAATTCAAGACAAACAATTCAGGGCTACCAAGCCAGCATTATAGAGGACTCTTAAAGGAACCTTGAGTATAGAGGAGAAAAACATGAACCCAGGAGCTCAGGAAAGAATACATTTCTTGAAGAATAGATGAACAAGGGAGAACTAAGAAAAAATACAAAGTACATGATACGATAGACCCACAAACCTCTAATATGAATAGGAGAGAGAGAAAAGAACAAGCACTAATACAATTAACCAGAAAAACAACAAACCAAATTGCAGGAATCAGCACAGAGCTTTCAATAATAACTCTTAAGTGAAAATGGTTTTAACTGTCCAATTAACCAATTAAAAGACACCAACTAAGCCAGGCAGTGGTGGTGCACGCCTTTAATTCAAGCACTCAGAAGGCAGAGACAGGTGGATCTCTGTGAGTTCGAGACCAGCCTGTTCCACAGTGTGAGTTGCAGGGCAGCCAAGGCTGCAGAGAGAGAGATCCTGTTTTGAAAAAACAGAATATAAAACAAAACAACCACCACCAAAAGATTGGACTAAATAGCAAGATCCAAATTTTTTTTATCTCTAGGAAATGTATCTTAATGACAAAAACAGACACAAACTGAAAGTGAAACATGGAAGTCAGTTTGCCAAGTAAATGAAAGCCAAAACTAAGCTGGCAGAGCTCAGGGAACATCAAAGAAGTGATTGTGGGAAGAACACAGGAGGGTCATGAGATGGCTCAGTGGAAGCCTCAACCTGAGTTTGATCCCCAGAACCCACCATGGGAGGAGATAACTGAGTCCTAAAACTTGTCCTCTGACTTCCACACTCACGTGGACTGGCAAACCTGTGCATATGCATGAACACAAATGATCTCGAGTAAACAAAAACCCAAACAAAATGTTAAAGACGTAAAGCAGGTGTAAATACCTGGGTTAGGTCATAATGTAGATCATTTAGTACCATCCTCATTTTGTAGCCTTAGTGCCATCATTTAGGCTATTAGAACACTTTTTTTGTTTTTAATTATTTTTATTTTATGTACATTGTGCATTGCTGTTCTGTCTGAATGTAAGTCTGTGTGAGGGTGTCAAATCCCCTGGAATTACAAATAGTTATGGGCTGTCATGTGGGTGCTGGGAATTGAATCCAGGTCCTTTGAAAGAACAGCCAGTGCTCTTAACCTCTGAGTCATCTCTCCAGCCCTAGAATATTTTCTATTCCTGAGTTTCTTACTCTCTTAACATCATTTTTGGAAAGTAACAAAAACACAGAATGAGCTCTGTATTTACATTGCATCATAGAAACAATTTAAGAGATTGCTTGTATCCCTTCTCCCTATCTCAGATCTGATATAAATCCTGACACCCCAAACTTCCAGCCACCCCTGGCATTTTATGTCCAGATGTTCAAGTTGGATTTGGAATGGGAAAGAGACAGATCAGCTCTAGGCCCTATCTGTTGGTCTTTGTCTTCTGGATTCTTGTCTTCTGCATTCACAATCAACCATGCTAGGACTTGATGGTCTGGCTTGTGGGTTAGGCCCCTCCCTTCTTGGGAAAGGTGTGAAAGGCTTGGCTTGGCTACAGGGCACACTCTAGGTTGTTTCCTGGAAGTTCTGTTGTTTGGGATTCAAAATAACTCTGTTTGTACTGAAGCTCCATCTGTAGGCCAGGTTGGCCTTGAACTCAAAGATCTGCCTAACTCCCAAGTGCTAAGATTAAAAACACACCACCACTCTGGGCTGCAAAATGATTCTTGAAGTGTAAGGTGAGGCAGCCCCACCTGGAAGACGCTGAGTTGGACTTCTGCCACTGGAAGGTCAAGGTGTATTGCAGTAGTGCCAAGGTGAGTTCCTTGAAGCTGGCATGTCTACCCACAGCTGCCCCCACCACAGTGGTAAGGTTTCTCACCTGTGTGGGTTTGCAGGCATGCTTTGAGATGCCCATGCAGCTGTTCTTTCCCGTTGTGTGTTGCTGAGCTGTGGTCCAGCTTCCAACTGGGCCCATAGGAGCCCGCCATACATGCAAGAGGACACTGTCCTGCTTAATTCTGGAACGCAGGGTGGCCTTTGGCAAATCTGATGACCCATTGACTGCCGTGCTTGCTTTCAGCACCAAGTTGCCCATCAGCCCCCCAGGAGCTGCTGTCTGGTGTCCACCAGGTGGGAGGGGCCGGTGAGGGTGGTGCCCACCCGCCCGTCTGCTCGAACCCTGCAGGCATGGGGCACTGCCAGGGTGGTAGCTCCACCTGGAAGCGGAGGATGGAGCCGATGCTGCGGGAACAGTGATTGCCACTGGTTCCTGATGGGATAGCCAGTTGGAGAGAATAAAGCCTTTGAACTTCGGAGTGGGCTGCCTGGTCATCCCGGTAGCTCTGCCATCTCCAACTCTTCCAGTGACTGGCCGGGGAAGGGGGGTGGTGTCCATGGTGGTGGGGAGGACATGGGGCGGCAGCGCCTCACTGGTGGCTAGCAGTGAGGTCACTCAAAGCCCAAGGACAATGAAGATGTTAAAAACTAAGAAACAAAACCTGAAGACCAGAAGTCCCAAACTGCCTGTGGTTCTTTTTCTTTGGATTAAATATAAACTGATGGTGCCTTTTTAAGAAGTTCGTTTTGTATTCCAAAATTCTCAAAAAGGTTGTGAACACTTGAAAACAGCAGCAGGTCAGAAGCCAGGCTGCACTCTTGAACCAGAGGCGTCCTCCATGTGAAATGAGTAATAAAACTGTTTCTTCCAAATCAGGTCTGTCACACCCTAAACACACACCCTTGTTCTCCTATTTCTAAGAGTCAGGGGAAAATATCTCAGAAGCCAGAGAATGAAATCAGTAAATATTCACAAAATTAAAAAAAATAGTTTTATTAACTTACTGTGCAATCTGAGAATGGGAAATCTCAAGTCTTTGGTCAGCACATTTGATAATTTCTTCATATGATGTTACCTTGAGAAGATAAGTATTCTTTTTACAAATACAAGCATTTGCATTTCATTTTGATTACTTTCTCCCTTTTTAAAACCTTTCCAAATGGAAGTTTAATTATTTGATTACAACAAATGAAAATCTTACAACAGACAAAATACCTTTTTCTGTTTTGATTGCAGGAATATGAATAAAGATAGAGTAAGGCCCACTCATCAGGCTAGAAATGTGAGTTCCAGAAACTAGACAGCTCCAGTGAGTGCACTGTCATCTACCTGTCTGCACACAATACCAATGATACAGGGTCAGCTAAGGGTTATAGTCTATCTGGTTAAAGTTAATGCAGCCTTGTTTTGTTTTGTTTTGTTGTTTTTGTAGACAGGGTTTCTCTATGTAACAGCTCTCCTGGAACTCAATGTATAGATCAGGCTGATCTTAAACTCACAGAGATCTGCCTGCCTCTGCCCCCAGAGTACTGGGATTAAAGGCCTGTGTGCACCACCTTCAATTTTAGTACTTGGGAGGGAGGCTGAGGCAGTAGAATGTGAGATTCCAAGGCCAGCCTGGGTTACATATGGAGACACTGTCTCAAAAGACCATTGAGACCAAAGTGGAAACAAAATGTAAAATAAAACACTAAGTTGGCAAGATACTTGAAGGTAAAGTAGCAAAATTAAGACTTTAAAGTGCCTGGAGCAAGGTTCTTGGCCACTTTCCAGCTGTCCTGCTAAATGGGGACATTTAATGTGCATTGCACGGTAAAAGGGACCAGTATAAAGTGGCTTGGCAAACCTCGGATCCTTTTAGATCTGGAGTTCTATTAGCAATGATGTGATGTTTGTGTTAAGTTTTATTGTTGTTTGGTTTGGTTTTTATGCTGAGGATCAAACCCAGGGGAGGTGCTCTACCAATTGGGCCACATCCCCACCAGTTTTTGCTGCCTGGCATCATTGTTTGAAGGTTTTGATTTTTTTTTTTGTTTGTTTTCCTGTAAGAAAACCTGTACCTTATTTATTAAGCTGCCTACATGTCTCCGGTACTTGTCATTCTCTTCGATGAGTCTACTGTAGTGTTCTTCTTTGCTCTCTAGAAGGCCCCCCAACTTTGTGATCTATGGAGAAACATCAGTGAAAATGTAACCTGGAAACCACCATGAAACAAGTGTAAAAATGAAAACAATCAGCTATATTTTAGTCCAATATTCTCTGAAATTGAGTTCTATTAAATTCAGTTAAGACATAGATGAGCTGGGTCTGGGAGTAGATTGCATACAGCACATACAAGCAGGAATTATGATGGACTTTTATTGATTCTGTGATTTTCTACTATGAAATGGCTTTGTAAGTACCCATGCATCTGCTAGGACCTACGGACATGAATCACATCCCGCTTTCATCACTGCCCTCTGAGTAGATAACACATGCAGAGACATGCTTAAGTCCGAGTCAGAGCAGTGAAGTGGTGACGATGCAGGCACAGGTCGGAGACATGCCCTCCCTTGCAAATGATGCTCATGTCTACGTTTCAGCTTAATTCACTTCATGGTCCAGCCTACTGTCCAGAGTTTTGCAAGAATATTATTGAAAATTAAAAATTGTACAGGTAGGCAAATGACTTAGTGGGTAAAGGCACTTGCAGCCACAGCTGATGACGTGAATACTATCCCCCAGACCCATATGGAAAGGGAGAACCCACTCCTGCAAGGTGTCCTCTGACCTCCATGTGTGCTGTGACATGCCAATATGGTTTTACAAATACACACACACACACACACACACACACACACACACACACACACACAAATCAATCAAATGTAATAAAAGCTTTAAATAAAAAAATTATTTTTTCTGAGAGCAGCATTTAGGGTAATCAGGAAAGCTTATTAATATTTATTCTGAAAATTACTTTCATTTTCAAAGCAATTATAGAAGGAAAACTACAGAAAGCTTCCCACTAAATAGCAGTGCTGAGTGACTTTCAGTCTTCTCACATTTTACATGTACGTCTGTATCTGTAGAGGAGGACCCCGTGAAGCAATGGTAAGGCAATATGCTGGGGAAATTGCAACCCTCCGTCCCTCTTCCTTCTGTCTTCGTTCCGGGCATGGGAGAGGAACCAAGGGCCCAGAGTGTGTGAGAAGTGAGCTCTACTTCCAGGCTATTTTATATTTACTTTACTTTTTAATTTTGAGGCAAGGTTTCCGTAAGTTGACCAGGCTGGCTTTGAATTCACTATATAGCTTAAATTAGCCTCAAATTTGAAACCCTCCTTCCCCAGGCTTTGGGGTTCTGGAATTTTAGACATGTATCTCCACTTTCCTTCTCTTTCAAAGGTGGATGGCTATGCAATAAATATAGTGGATAAGTCTGCTTTTAAGTTTTTTAGAAATATAAGGATATGCCTTTAAAAAGAACTGTGGCTGGGCGGTGGTGGTGCACGCCTTTAATCCCAGCACTCGGGAGGCAGAGGCAGGTGGATCTCTGTGAGTTCGAGACCAGCCTGGTCTACAAGAGCTAGTCCCAGGACAGCCTCCAAAGCCACAGAGAAACCCTGTCTCAAAAAACCAAAACCAAACAAACAAACAAACAAAAAAACTGTGATTACTGGGCAGTGGTGGCACATGCCTTTAGTCCCTGCACTCAGGAGACTGAAGCAACCAATCTCTAAGTTCAGTTCCAGGCTAGCCTGGTCTAGGGAGCAAGTTCCAGGGCAACCAAAGCTACACAAAGAAAGAAACCCTGTCTCGAAAAACCAAAAAACAAACAAACAAAAACCAGCTTTGGTTATCACGTGACAGTGATAGATACTTATGCAGCTAAATGAACAGAACAGGAGGCTATTATAGTAAACGAAATTAATCAGACCCAGGAAGATAAACACTGCATATTGTTTGATAGATGCTTTTAAACAGTTGAGGTGAATTCGTAGTAGTGATATCTAGAGGATGGGCAGAATAAAGAAAAACACAGGATGGCAGGGAGTTGGGTAACAGGTATGTCAAACACAGTATTAATAAGATCCAGTGTTCACAGAAATATGTAACATATTCTATAAATAATCACAAGGGAAGTGGCTAAAACTCCAAACACAAAGTTATGGTAAGGAGAAAGAGATTGATTAATATACATTGTGTATGTATATTAAAATATAGTACAGAAAAAGAAAAATATTATACTGTATCAACTCAGTTCTTTTAAATTGTTCTGTAACTGTCTAAACACCAAAAACCTGTTGGCATTTTCTCCTATTTTCCTGCATTCTCCTTATGTGACAGCTGAGGTAAATTAGGAGTTATTTCCAACCATAGTTACTGAATGCAGCTATTATAGCAGAATACACAAAAGCATAAGCGTGCTTTATCCACAATATTTTGGAGAGCTGAGCTATGCATGGCATGTATCTGTAAGTCCAGAACGTCAGAAGCTGAGGTGGGATATTGTGAGATGAAGCTTGGCTTGAACTAGATAGTAAGAACCCATCAAAAAAAAAAAAAAACAAAAAAAAAACAAAGGATGGCTCAGCAGTTAAGAGCACTTTTGCTCTTTTAAAGGACTCAAGTTTGATTCCCAACATCAGGCAGCTCAAACCAACTAGAACTCCAGGTGATCTGACACCCCCTTTTGGCCTCTGAGGGCACCTGCATGGATGTGCATAAACACAAAATAAATAATAACATTTTGAAAAATAAATAAAAATAAAGGGTGGGACATAGATAGTGGTAGAATGCTTGTCTGGCATGAGGTAGGCCTTGGGTTTGATACCTAGTATTAGGGAAAATAAAAGCATGTTTATCTTTTGGCTTCTGCATTTTGAAAGACATAAATCTTACAAATCAAGTTGGACTGTATTTAAATTTTTATAATTATTTTAAAATTTCATTTTTATTTTATGTGTATGGATGTTTGGTCTGCATATGTCTGTATACTGCTTACATACCTGGTACCTGGAGAGGCAAGAAGAGGGCATGGATCTCTTGGAACTTGATTTATAAATAGTTATAAGCTATCTTGTGAGTGTTGGGAATTGGACCTGGGTCCTCTAGAAATACAGCTTAACCACTGAACCATTTTTCCAATTTTAAAACATGGAAATACTTCCATACTTTTTTGATAATACTGCCCCAATGCTGGTATGACTATTTTAATAAGCAATACTTTGAAAGTTCTTAAAATGTAGTAGATGGCACTGGGCATAAAAAGGACCATAAGGCATTGGTCTTTCTTACCAAGAAATCGAGCTCCTCATTTAGATTGTGGTATTTATCCAATTTGACTGCCAGTAACACAGGTGCATCTCTGGTATTCCTGGCTTCTTCTGCATCAAAATCTGTGACCTGAGATTAAATATGTTTGCACATGTTATAGTAGTTACAACTCCTATCATTTTACAGTATCATTTTAACTTGAGAATCAAAGACAGGGGGCTGGAGAGATGGCTCAGTAGTTAAGAGAATTTGCTGGTCTTGCAGAGGTCCAAGGTTCAGTTCCAGCACCACATGGTGGCCTCACAAACATCTGTAATTCCAGTGCCACAGGAGCTGATGTCCTCTTCTGACCTCCTCAGGCACTGCACACACACAGTGCATATACATGCAAGCAAAACCCTTACACATAATTTTTTTGATACTCAAAGTTTGAGGATTGCTTGACATGAACTGAATTCATAGACGTACAGAATTTGCCGGGCGGTGGTGGCACACACCTTTAATTCCAACACTTGAGAGGCAGAAGCAAGTGGATCTCTGTGAGTTCCTGGCCAGCATGGTCTACAGAGTGAGTTCCTGGACAGCCAAGGATAGTTAAGTGCTACAAGAACTTCAGCAAATTTGCCAAGAGAACATAAATATTTGCAGTATATTAGCATGTTGAAGACAAAGCATAACATGATAAACTTACCTCAATAGTGTGATCTTGAAATGCTTTTTCATTAGCAATTAACTCTTTAAGAGTTGCAATTCTGTTTTTATGTCTCAATAACTAGAAAAAAACATTTTATATTTTAGAGGAAAAGAAATAAAATTACCTGCTAGAATATTTGTGACAAATAATGTCATTTAACACACCAACTCCAGTCTTTTATACCTAAATGATGTAATGATTTCACCACTTCCCTAACAAAGAATTCCTACAGCCAGCCTAAGACTGCTATGCTTAGCCAGACTAGCTAACAAGCCACTTAGAGCCCTGAATTGCATGAGCTTTCTATGGCCCTTGCTATGGATGACTCACTAGGTCAAACTGTTGTTCACGGCATGCTGTTTAGACTGAACACTCGCTTGCTTTCTTGTGAGTGGAACTTTGGTACATGATTTCTCCAATAAAAATTCTGTGGCTAAGTGGTTTTCCTGAACTTCCCTGGCACATGACCCCTCACCCTGTGATCACCATGTAGCGCTGGGGAAATGATGTGCAGACACCTGGGAGCCTGCTTCCTTCTGATTCGGCCCCACTGTGCCTTTTCCTGATAAGTAAAAGACATCATAGCTAGGAGTATAGCTGGATACTGACTGAGTCCTGTTCAATCCCTGGAGTTCTTGGGGGAAGGCAAGAACCAACTCCTGAATATTGTCTTCGTACCACCACACATGAGCTGTGGCTCAAGTGACCCCCCCCAACATACACCCATTAGTGAGAACAATAAATTTAGATTTTTGGAAAAGGCAATGGGGAAACTCTAGGTACTTCTGCTCTGACCCTTCTTCCTGATGGAGAAATAAAGGGTTTTGTTTTAAATGTGTCCAAGTGACAAAGTTTGAAGCCACTAAAAGGAATGTCAAAACAAACTCCTCTTTAGGAATCAGAAATGTCATGAGAAAATGAAAAAAAATTAAAAATTTTATTATACTTATTTATTTGGTGGTGTGTGTATATGTGTGTGTGTGTGCGTGTGATGTGTATGTCTGTGGGTGCATGTGTAGCAGCCCTCATGAACAAAATTTTCCAATGTAGCTTTAAGTTGGAAGCAAGTCAAATGTTTGCTAGTGTACCTACTTCTAAGAAGCTTAATAGGCTAGTCTGGTCCCCAAACACTTCTTAAAGCCAAAACTTTTGGAACAACTTTTCTGTGATATTTTAGCTGTTTCTTCCCACTCAACTGAATCAGGTTTTAAAATAAATAATACTGTACCTCTTTATCTAAATCTCTCTTTTTAAGCTGAAAGCTCTTCAGTTTTTGCAGCATTATGTCATTAGCTTTCTTACTTTCTTGGCAATGTTCAGCATCAGGAATGGTGATATCCTAAGGATAATGGTTTGAGAAACTAGATTGAAATTTTTCTCTGAAGCCAAAATGGGGAAAGAAAACCTCCTTTCAGAAGTGGCCCAAAGAGATAACCAGATGCTCTCCATCATCTCACTGGGAGTTAATACGAGAGCCTGCATGTGGATTCATACCTGTACATACATTGCTATTAACAGCGGGGTGTGGGGGCTGGAGAGAGGGCTCAGAGGTTAATAGCACCGGCTGCTCTTCCAGAGGTCCTGAGTTCAATTCCCAGCATCCACATGGTAGCTCACAACCATCTATAATGAGATCTGGTGCCTTCTTCTGGTGTGCAGGAATACATGCAGGTAATACATAAATAAATAAATAAATCGTTTTTTTTTTTTTAAAAAGAGCGGGGTGTAGTGGCACACTACTTTAATCCCAGCATGGGAGGCAGAGGCATGTGAGTTCAAGCCCAGCCTGATCTACAAAGTGAGTTCCAGGACACCTAGGGATACCCAGAGAAACCCCGTCTCAAAAAACAAACAAACACAACACAACAACAAAAAGAGTTGGTAGCATACTTGCTAATCCTCATCTATAATATATGCATATTTACACAGCCTGGCCAGTTTACATATCCAAACTTAAAATAAATCGCTACCTCTGACACTAGAACAGCCAGACAGCCTCAACAATATTGCAAGTAGGTAGTTCAAGAGTAGCCAGGATGAAGATTATTACAGCAAGATAATCTAGAAGTCTAATGTGCAAGGGTTTGTGTTTGAGTTTTGCTGCTTACATGTGAAACTTTGGACAAAGCTCAACTCTTCTAAAGCTTGCTTTGTTTTTCCGAGTTAAAACAAAAGCCTAATAAGATAAATAATGATATACGGTTTGTTCAAGCATGTTAGGGACGGTAAATGTGGGCGCCTCCACAGATAGTCAGGAGGTACTTGCTGCAAGCTTATTATGGGCTTGACTCTGCATTAGATACAGAACAAAGAATATCTAGTGGGTGGGAGATACAGAACAGGCAACCCAGAAGTACCTATTTGGGATGCGGTGGGGTTCACCGAGAGGGCTGATGACACACTGCCATTAAGACACCCAGTACAGAAGCAGCCAACAAATGGGACTGAAAAAGAACAGAAGCCACCAGCCAGGGGAATCTACACAGCTACTGCACATAAGCTACTGTTGAGAGGATGGGATGGAACAGCTAGTAACCAGGACGGGTCTGTACCACATTAACTCAAACCTTTAAAAACACAGTTATGTGTCTGTGGGCCACTGCTTTGAGAGCTGTGATCTGCACACAAAAGGCTTAATGTGCTGTCACTCAACAAATACTAATGATCAACAACATTTAGCTAGATGATACAAAGGTTTTTGTCATATTAAAAACAGCAATGAGAGCTGGGTGTGGTGGTACACACCTTCCTTGTGATTCATTTCACTGACTTTTCAAGAATCAAGAAATGGTTCATGCCATCAGTGGTGGTGCAACCTTTAATCCCAGCACTTGGGAGGCAGAGGCAGGTGGATCTCTGAGTTTGAGGCCAGCCTGGTCTGCAGAGTGAGCTCCAGGACAGCCAGTACTACACAGAGAAACCCTGTCTCAAAAAAAATAATTAAAAACAACAACAACAACAACAACAACAAACAACAAAAAAAAACATGGCAAGGGATGTATTCACATTTCAGCTCAGTACTTAACAATGGAAAAAATGTACAACAGAAGAAAAACCTAATTTGAAAATCTAGGAAGTCTACAGCCTTTCATATCATTTTTGTTAAAAGCAGTTGCTGCCCAGAACAGGACAAGTTATCGTTCCTTATTTAAGGAAACAGGCTGAGAAAGGTCATGTTACTTGGACAAGTCACATAACCAAGACATTGGAGGTCAGGATTTGAACTCATTGATAATTCATTTAAAATTAATCAATCTATCTACCTACCTACCTACCTGTCTACCTACCTATGGATATATGGGTATTTGGGGATATTTTATGGATATGTGGGTGTTTCTATAGCTTGCACATGTGTCTGATGCCCACAGAGGCCATAGAGCAGTTAGAGCCCCTGGAACTGAAATTATAGGCGGTTTTGAGCCTCTGTGTGAATGCTGGGAATCAAACCTGGGTCCTGTGGGAGGGTGGTTCTTAACCCCTGAGCCACCTCTCCAACACTGTTACTTCATTTTTGTTTTTGTTTTTTTCATTCTACTCATGTATACAGTTCTCCCTGCCCCAAACTATTTGTAATTAGGCAAACAACTCATTAATGAGAACAATCATTAAGAACAGACTGGCCAAAATATAAGACAAGTCTCTAGAAGGAAGAAGTACTAGACAGCTAATTAATATCTCTATTCTTTATCCCTTTATCATTGCATCTGACTGTATACAGCTGTGGAAACTGGATGTCAAAGACAAACTATGATGTATCAAGAGAGGGCACTGTGTTTGGAGGTCTGGTTTTGTCTTTTCTTTTTCTGTAACTTAATTCTGAGACCTCTCACAGCCATTCCAACCCCAATGATGGATCTGATTTATTTATTTATTTATTTATTTATTTATTTATTTATTTATATATTCATTTATTTATTTATTTATTTATTTATTTATTTATTTATTTATTTATTTATTTATTTATTTATTTATTTATTTATTTATTTATTTATTTATTTATTTATTTATTTATTTATTTATTTATTTATTTATTTATTTATTTATTTATTTATATATTCATTCATTCATTCATTTTTACCTGACATGTGAGAAGTCCTATTGTCAGGGCCAAAAGACTGTGAATTCTAGAGGTCAGTGGAGGAGTTCTCTTCATAGCTGGGAGCTCCAGGGTCTCTTTCCAAGGCGAGCAATCCAGGAGCAAATTAGAATGTAGTCCCTGTGGACCCTATGTGCACACAATTCAGATTTGTCACAAAGTCGAAGGACCAATATTAGCTTTTAAACAAAACACTACACTTAAAAGCTCTGAGCAGTGGTTTTTCTGTGGGATGCCTTTATACTCTTACAATTTATTGATTTAAAAAAGCACAATTTTAAAGACAAAAAATATTGAGGATAATATTTTTTATATTATAAATTATAACCAACTTTTTGAGTATTTGCTTAATAATTCATTTGGCTAACAATTTATTATGTCTCAACATAAATAGGCCTTTTACTACTAAAATTGTGTTTTCTAAAATAAAATATTAGTGGAGTCACAGTTTTCTAGTTTTTGCAGTTTTGGGGGGCCAGTTACAGGGTCTTGCTTGTGCTGAGCAGGTATTCCTCCTGTACCTAGCTACAACCCCAGCTCATTTGCAATTATTATTTATTTACTTACTTATTTTTGGTTTTTTGAGACAGGGTTTCTCTGTGTAGCTTTGGAGCCTATCCTGGCATTCGCTCTGTAGACCAGGCTGGCCTCAAACTCACAGAGATCCTCCTGCCTCTGCCTCCTGAGTGCTGGGATCAAAGGCGTGCACCACCAATGCCAGGCCGCAATTAATTTTAATTCTATAGTTGATTTTTTTTCAAGATGGAGTTTCTCTGTATAGCTTCAGAACCTGTCTTGGAACTCACTTTGTAAACCAGGCTGACCTTGAACTCACTGAGATCTGCCTGCCTCTGCTTCTTCAATGCTAGGATTAAAGGTGAACGCCACCAAGGCCCAGCTATTATTTCTATAGTTGAAAAGGCAGCATGGTTCTCATCTTTGACCCACACACCCTGTGGTAGTTTGAATAAGAATGTCCCAAAGGCTCACATATTTGAATGTCACCAGAGAGTGGCACTTTTTGAAAGGATTAGAAGGATTAAGAGGTGTGGCCTTGTTGGAGTAAGTGTGACTTTGTTGGAGGAGTGTGTCACTGGGCTTTGAGGTTTCAAAAGCACATGCCAGGCCCAGAGTCTCTTCTGCTGCCTACAGATCTGCTGTAGCTCCCAGCTACTGCTACAGTGTCTGCCTGCACCTGCTATGCTCCCTGCCATGAGGATTATGGACTAAACCTCTGAAACTAAAAGCAAGTCCCCAGTTAAATGTTTTCTTTTATAAAAGTTGCCTTGATCATGGTATCTCTTCACAGCAATACAATAGGGACTAATATACATCCAATCACCAAGGAGGACTATTACATTAGCACATTCACACAGCTTATATGATACCATACATTTGAGAAATAACAATGGGAAAAGCAATAATGTCTTTTGAGAGAGGTTACCAAAACAAGTATTCCCACATGCAGAGCCAAATTCTTCACCACTTATCTGCCCCTGCCCATTCTTTAAAATTTTAAGACAGTGTTGCCAAGGCTGGCTACGAACTTGGGATCCTTTTGCTTCAGACCCCAAATGTCTGTGATTATAAGCATGTGCATCATACCCAGCAACAATAATGTCTTTTTTTAGATTTTATTTATTTATCATATATACAACATTCTGCTTCCATGTATATCTGCACATCAGAAGAGGGCACCAAATCTCATAACGGATGGTTGTGAGCCACCATGTGGTTGCTGGGAATTGAACTCAGGACCCCTGGAAGAGCAGTCGGTGCTCTTAACCTCTGAGCCATCATCTCTCCAGGCCAACAATAATGTCTTTTGTTCCATGCTATTAGCTTAGTTAAAACATATATAGTATGCTATATAAATTCCAGAGTCTAATCCAATTTTCGAAATGATTTTTCTTTTTAAGAACATTCTTCATATCTGTTAAATGAATAAAAATATTTCTTATTATTTATTACATTTAATTTGTTTTGTGTGTGCAACACATGTGGAGGTCACAGAACAATTTTAGGGAGTCAGGTGAATTCAGGTTTTCAACCTTGATGGCAAGTGCTTTTACCCAGGAAACCATTTCACTCGCCCAAAACCAACCGTATTTCTTTTTTTTTTTTTCAAGACAGGGTTTCTCTGTGGCTTTGGAGGCTGTCCTGGAACTAGCTCTTGTAGACCAGACTGGTCTCGAACTAACCTTATTTCTTAAGCAGTTTGTGTCTTACTATAAAGGCAAGAAATGGTGGCTCACACCTGTAATCCAAGCAACTAGGAGACTAAAACAGGAAGATCATCTAGGTTACATATGCTGAAGTCATCCTAGGTTCCATAATATAAAACGCTGTCTCAAAAAAAAAAAAGGAAGGAAGGAAGGAAGGAAGGAAGGAAAAAGAAAAAGGGAGGGAGGGGAGGAAAAGAGGGAGGAGGAAGGGAGTAGCAGATGCAGATCCAAGGACTGAGGCCATCATAAGCCGTAATTGCACTTGTTTTCCACTGAGAATAGCAAATGCTTCCTGAGGTCCTCATCACAGTGGCTCTGATGCTCTGCCCCAGAAAGTCTATGGGAAGCACTATAAAAGACACTGAGATGCAAGACAGAAGAAATAGTTACACCACACCAACGATGTCTTAATATTACTATAAAAATACTTTTGACTTTCACAGATGCTCTCAGAGCATATTTTGAGAAAATGGACCCAGAATAAAGAAAGCAAAAAGAGGGTGAATCTGGAGATGATAAAGAAATTCTTTAGTTGAGACCAGGAAATTGATATTTAACATGAAAACTAATGAAAAAATCTATGTCACGTTAAAACTCTGTAGTTAAAGCACCTGGAAAGGTAGCTAAGCTCAAGGTTTCTGCTAAGGTCAGTCACTCAGAAGTGTGGCCCCTGGAATAGCATCATATATTCCCCCACTGGGGATCTTGCTAGAAGAGCATGTTTTCAACATAGTCTAACATAGTCTATATGTCAACAAACCCTCCTAGTCATGCTTCAAGTGCCCAAGTTTGAGAATCACTGATCTAGGTGATGATTAGAGAGCTCTTTCGTGTGCGTGTGTGTGTGTATGTGTGTGTTTAAACTAAGATAACAACAGTATTTCCCAAAAATAAAAAATAGATTTACTCTCAAATAACACATAATAATTATGATAATGACTCCATGATACGTTCAAAGCAATATACCAGCTTCATTCAAGTTATTACAACATGGTGGTACATGCCTATAACTATGTGACGTCAGAGGCAGGAGAATCACAGGAAATAGGAGGCCAGCTTGGTCTACATAACAAGACCATCTAAAGCCAACTAATCAGCCAACCATTATATAATGTTTTAAAAGTAAAATAGACTTGTCTTATTTTCTAGCTCAAACTGCCTTGCTTTCTTCAGCTAGTTGTCCCTTGGCATATACCTCCACAGCTGCCAGACCAGCTTTCTTCCTAACCAATCCACTGACAAGATTTTACTTTACCTAGGCAGTGCAGTGGCTCATACCTGTAAATAACACTCAGAGTCCCAGGCATTTGCATCTTGAGTTCAAGGCCAGCCTTGACTGCATAGTTTCAGGCCAGCCTGGGTTGCATATCAAGACCCTGTCATGAACAAATATGCCAATCAAACTAGATTTTAGATTTTACTCTATTAAGATTCATATACTTTAAGGAAGAACTCTATCAGGTGTGCTGTAACTTGTGCAAACTACCCCTTCCTAGATGTGCTTTTAGGTGCTTTGCTAAAGCAAGCAAACAAACAAAAATGCAGTTTTAGAATAACATTAAAAATGCAATTTCTCTAAATGTGTTGGTAAAAGGTTCTAATGCCATTTTCAATACTTCATAATTTTACAAGTAATGTGTACTGCAGTTTTACTTTGTAAGAAAAAAATTTTTATTTAGTTTATTGCTAAATTAGATTTGAAATCACACTTCAAGAATCCTCTGGTAGTCCAAATAAATCAGACATGCAACACGATCCCCAACAACAGCAAAAAAGAAAGAAGGGAAGGAAGGAAGGAAGGAAGGAAGGAAGGAAGGAAAGAAGGAAGGAAGAAAGAAAGAAAGAAAGAAAGAAAGAAAGAAAGAAAGAAAGAAAGTCCTCTTTCAAAGGAATCGTCTAGAGATGATTCTTAGGACTGATCATGGGTACTTATAAAATCCCCAGGTTAATTATCTCCCCTACCAAAATTGTCACAAGAAGCCAGGAATTATTGTTCTTTAAGGCGAGTGCCCAGAAACCAGTAGAAACCTTTCTAAATTTGTGGTACATTTCCCTTTCTGTTTCTCTTTAAAAAAAAAAAAAATTCTCCCTACAAACAAAAAGCTCAGAACTTTCTACAAACTTGAAACTTTGGGGATTGTGTTAGACATTTAGCATCTGCATCAATACCTGGGCGTCACCTGGCTCCATCACTTCTTCCAGCTGCTCCCTTGACTGAATCATGTCAAAGTTAGGGGCACAAGTTTGTGCCTCCCCTTTTGCAGCCTGCTGCTGGAGCTCTGCGTTTTCCTGCTTCAGCTGGTCGACCTGCTGCTGGAGCTTTGTAGTTGTAGCCCTCTCGCTCTCACAGGTGAACAGTAAGCTTTTCACTTGCGCCATCAGCTTCTCAACTTTTGACTTCAATTTTCGTCTTTCTTTCAGGTTCTCCTTTTCCCGCCTCTGGAATTCCTCCTGAAAAGACAGGAACTCTTGTTCCCGGATCTCCTTCTCCCTTTTCAACAAGTCCAAAGCAGAGCTGGTGGCCTCCTCCAGCTCTCCTTTGTGTCGCTGCAGCCTTTGCAGCTCTTCGTCTTTTTTGCTTAAGGTCTTCTCTATCTCCAGGCACTGACTGACTGATCTGTTTTTCTGCTGTATCTCAGCGATGTACCTTTCCTGTAAACGGACATAATGGACCTTGATCTTTTTAACCTGGAGTTGCAAGGTCTCCTTGTCTTTCTTGGATTCCTGAAGGTGCTTTTTGGTGTTGGCTGAAACCTCTTGCAGATCCTGAAATTTCTTGTTGATACTATTCTTCTCTAGGAGTACATTGTATTTGTCATCAATTAGCTCCTCAATGTTCTCCTTTAGTTTGTTTATGATGTCAACCAATACTTGCTGTTTGGTGACCTTCGTCTGTAGTTCTTTAACCCTGTTTTCTAAGTGCAAGTTCCTATCATGGAGGTCTTGGATCTGAATTTCTTGTGTTTTGTTAGTCTGTTTTAATTTCTGCAAGGCTTCATTTAAGGCCATGTCTTCTTCCAGAGGCTCCAAGCTTTCAAAGCATAGCTCCCTATCAGGCATCATGCAGTTGTCCTGAGAGCTACTATTCTTGAAGATGCCCGCTGGAGACCAAGATGAGGTAATGGCTAGGCTGTCTACACCATCTTCTGTGACTTCCTCCTGGTGACTAACAGACATCTCAGAAATCTCCCCAGAATTCTGCATTTCTTTTGAAGAAACTTCAGGCTGAAAATTATAGTAAATAAAATAAATGTGAAAGAACAGACTGCTAAGTATAACTCCCAACACCATGGCAGAGCACAAGCGGTAGGCATATGCTAGACGTATGCATCATATTTACTTAGATAAAAGAAAAATTGTATTTGGACCCTCATAATCTCCTATGATATAAACCCTGGTCACATATAAGGTGCTTTCTTCAGTTTCAAAATCAATTAAACAAATGTATTAATCACCCTATAGACTATAAGGTCTTTGAGTAAAGATTGTTAATAATATCCTATTTAGACCATTACTTCACCCATGTTGACTCCTGTGAACCTTAGAATGGCAGACATACTTCATGATTGACTTTATGCCCACAATACATGTTTGGTGGGCGTGTGTATGAAACAAAAGACTGCATAGTGTTGATATAGAACACTGAAACAAAGCCAGGCATTGGTGGAACACGCCTTTAATCCCAGCACTCGGGAGGCAGAGGCTCATGATCACAGACAGATGAGTAATTAATACATTTTCTTATGAAACTCATGCTGAAAAGTGATTATTTGCACTACTGATGGGTCAGACTCTTCTGCTGAGGCTGTTTAGAGAATGAATACACAGACTTTCTACTGCGGATGTCTTCAGTGCTGTTAGGGTATCACAGGTGACCACAACCAATGAAAACTAAGACAAGTAAGCATTTGCTTGTCCATAGAAGTCCACAAAATAGACAAGTCTTTGGCCTGTTTTGTCATATAATTTAATAAACACCTTTGGCTGGGTGGTGGTGGCAAAGGCAGGTGGATTTCTATGAATTCGAGACCAGCCTGATCTACAAGAGCTAGTTCCAGGACAGCCTCCAAAGCCACAGAGAAACCCTGTCTTGAAAAACCCAAAAATAAATAAATAAATAAATAAATAAATAAATAGATAGATAGATAAATAAACACCTCTGTGCAACCTTTCTTTCTCAACCCTGCCCTCAAGGCCAACTCCGGAGTCTCGGCTAGTTTGGTATAATGCACATAAAAATGGGTCATACTTAAGGCAGCATGTTGAGACTAAGCCATGCAAATATTATTAGGACAGCGAGTGAGTCATAATCCTTAGAGAAATAACACTTTGGTAGAGCTACTCTCTAATTATGGCCCAAATGTATTAGGAAATATTATATCTCATTGTTTAAGATTCCCCCTGGAAGCAGAGTCCCTTGAACTGATCTAATGACTTAATGATATTTGGAAAGTCTCAGAGTCTGTGTTTTTAAACAATAAAAATACCCCTGCATCTGTTAGCATGTCACCGGCTTTAATGACACCACCAATCAATCTTACCTCCTCTGTTTCACCATTAGCTCTAAAGTCAAGCAGGTCTAAGCAGTCCTCATTATCAAATACATCTTCACCACTTGTGCAGACATTTTCTTTACCCAGAAAGCTTTGAGGCTGACTGACGTTCAGGGCGACATCTACAACAGTACTTCTAGCCAGTGACTTTTCCACAAACGTCTGTATCCCTCCTCTGTAGTAGTTTAGTGACAGACCTCTAGGAGATTTCCCGACATGCTCATGAACAAGTTGGTCTTTATTTTCAGAAATGCTAGTTTCCATCGGACTTTCTCCCTTAAGTGAATCTGACTTCTCACTGGCGTCCACTGTGTCATTAGACTCCTGGCTTTGCAACTCTGGCTTCTCCAAGTAAGAAAAGACTTCCCCCATGTCTTGAAATGTTGCCTCATCATTAAATGCTTCTATCCAGTGAAATTTGCAAATGGGTTCAAATTGTCTGAAGGAAGAAACCCTAGTGTTAGCTGGTTGATTCTGTACACACTCCGAGAAATTCCCAAGGTTGGTATCTTATTAGAAAAACAAAGAAGATAATGAGTTACCATAAACTTATGGAAAACTGTTATACTTAAAAATAAATGTTGAAATCTTTTAAGTATTATGTTATTTCAAACAAAACATTTTTTCTTTTTTCTTTTTCGGTTTTTCTAGACAGGGTTTCTCTGTGTGACAGTCCTGGCTGTTCTGGAACTTGCTTTGTAGAGCAGGCTGGCCTCGAACTGTCTGAGATCTGCCTGCCTCTGCCTCCCGAGTGCTGGGATTAAAGGCATGCGCCACCACTGCCTGGCTAGCTTTTTCTTTTTTTATATAGTATCTCACTATTTAGCTTAGGACAACCTCAAACTCATCCTCCGCCTTTACCTCCAAATGCTAGTATTACAGGAGTATGCATGATGCTTAACTTAGGTTTGATCCCTAGCATCCATATGACAGCATACAACTGTCTAGTTCCAGTCCCAAGAGATCAGATGCCCTCTTCTGGCCTCTGAGAGCACTGCACACACCTGAAGTATAGACACATGCAGACAAAACATTCATACACACAAAACAATATATATAATGTATATGTACATGTATATATATATATGTATATATATTCACACATTGAAAAAGGATAGGGTTGCATAGTTGCAAACACCCAACGTGTAATTTTTATAAGTTTATAGTACTGGAGAAGCAGAAGAAGGCAAATCCCCAGAGCTCATTGGCCAGTTGGTCTAGCCAATTGGTTAATTGCTTTACTTTAAACCCTGTCTAAACAAATTAGGTGTGCCAGGTGATGGTAGTTCATGCCTTTAATCCCAGGCTCAGGAAATGGAGGCAGGTGGATCTCTGAGTTCGAGTCCAGCATGGTCTACAGAGCAAGTTCCAGAACAGACTCTAAAAGCTACACAGAGAAATCCTGTCTCGAAAAACCAATAAATAAGTAAAAACAAAAACAAACAAACAACAAAACCAAATTAGGTGCAGAGCAATAGAGGAAGACACCCAAAGTTGACTTCTGGCATACACAGGGATGCAAAAGGGTGTTAAGCACTCACACACACACTAGCTCATAGAGTGTCAGTAAAGGCAACTGTAGAATAAAAGACAGCATAAATGAGTTTTCTTATCCTATCCTGGCACTCGCTCTGGAGACCAGACTGGCCTCAAACTCACAGAAATCCGCCTGCCTCTGCCTCCCGAGTGCTGGGATTAAAGGCATGTGCCACCAATGCCCGTCAGAAAACCAAGTTCTTTTAGGCTGTGTGTAGTGGTGCTGTTAGGTCACCTGGGAGATGGACCTCTGTGCATCTCTCTCTGGGACTGTCTTGATTATGTTCATTGATGAGGACAGACCCATCTTAACTGTAGTGGGACCTTCCCTGAGCAGGGATCTTGGGCTGTTAAGAAGGGTAGAACACCTAGGATAGGTTCCAAAGCTACACAGAGAAATCCTGTCTCGAAACACCAAAAAAAAAAAAAAAAAAAAAAAAAGTAGAACAATCTGGGTGGTGGTGGCACTCTCAGGTCCTAAGCACTCAGGAGGCAGAGGTAGGAGGATCTCTGTGAGTTCTAGGCCAGCCTGGTCTACAAAGCAAGTTCCAGGACAGTCAAGGCTACAGAGAGTACTGGGATTAAAGGTGTGTGCCACCACTGCCTAGAGAAAAATAGTATTTTGAAGCCTTGTATTTGGTCTTTAATGAAGTGATCAGGCTCAAATGAAACCAGAAGGTTAATTCCTAATCCAATATGAGGGTCCTTTCAAGAAGAGAAAGGCCCCAGGGACAAAAGGCCATGGTAGAGACAACAGAAGAGTAGCTGTCTTCAGGTGGAGGACAGAGATTAAACCTGTGCTCAGGGCCTCCAGAACAATCAGAAAAACAGCCCCTGCCGCCTATGTAACGCACTCAGCCCCTGTTTACTCATGTCAGCCCTAGAGAACAGACATATACTGTCCGGATTTTCTATGGAGTTATGTGTTGGTTTTCCTGTTGCAATTCTTTATTTTGGGATACCAATTTGCTGCCAATTATACAAATCGCAAATATCTTCTCGAAGTCTGTGGTTTCAGCCTGTGGTTTCTTTCTAACTGGTTGATTATATTTTGATCACATATTAGGTTCTAATATTATCAAATGTAGTAATTATGGTTTGTATTCAAATGTCAAGAAATGTTTCTCTTTTCTATTGTCATAAAGGCACTTAAATTTTGTTTATTTATTGTGTGTATTTGTATGTGTGTGTGTGAGAGAGAGAGGGGGGGGTGCACAAGTGTGCCATGCCATACATAGGAAGGTCAGAGGCCAGCTTTTGTCTCCCATCTCACTGTAGGAGTGCTGGAATTACAGATGTGTACCACAACATCTGGCTTTTTACAATGATTCTGAGGATTGGACTCTGGAGATCAGGTTTGCTCAGTATGCCTTTCCCCACCACATCCTCGGCCCTATATTTTCTCAATGAGTTAAGAACTTTGTAGCTTACTTGTAGATCATTACCCTGTGGAATTAGCTTTTGAATCTGGTGTAAGAGTTTAATATTTTAGAAAACTGTTCTAGCATAACCAGATAGGTGATTGACTCTTACACACCGACTTATAACAAATGCCAAGACCACATTTTTGTTGTCTCTTGAGACAGGGTCTTGTTCTGAAGCCCTTGGTGGCCTGGCAATTGTGTAGCCCAGGTTGTCTTAAACTCTTGATCCTCCTGCCTCACGCTTCCAAGTGCTGGAATATGGGCATAAACCAGGCTCAACTTCTCTCATTTTTAAATGAGAATATGAGGATCCCCTTAGGATAAATGTAATTACACTAGTTCATAGATATGAGAGAACTGGTATGTAACACTTCATCAGTTCTTATGCTCTCCATAACTTTTTCCCATTAAAACCTGGCACACTTTCTGTGAAATTTATTCTTGGGTATTTTATCAGCACTATTACTGATGATAGTAAAAAATAATTTAAAGATTTTATTTATGTTTCATTTATGTGTTATGTGTGTGTGCCTCCATGAGTTTATGTGCATGCAGGTGCCAGTGGATAGCAGCAGAGTGTGTGGGAGCCCCTGGAATGGGAGCCACTGGTATTTATGAGCCCAGATATGTGTGTGCAAGCTGAACCCAAGTCCTCTGCAAGAGCAGTCAGTGCTCTTAACTGCTGAGCTGTCTCCCCAGACCCTAAAAATTTCTTTTGAAAGGAAATTGCTGTTAGTACATTGTAATGCTATTAGTTTTTAAAATATTGACTGATTGGGACTGGAGAGATGGCTCAGTAGTTAAGAGTACTGCCTGCTCTTCCAAAGGTCCTGAGTTCAATTCCCAGCAACCACGTAGTGGCTCATGACCATCTCTGCTGGTCTGCAGGCATACATGCAGGCCGAACACTCTACACATAAAAATAGATAAATCTTTTTATTTATTTATTTCTGCTTCTATGTATATCTGCATACCAGAAGAGGGCACCAGATCTCGTAACAGATGGTTGTGAGCCAGCCACCATGTGGTTGCTGGGAATTGGAACTCAGGACCTCTGGAAGAGCAGTCAGTGCTCTTAACCTCTGAGCCTTCAGCACCCCCCCCAAAATAGATAAATCTTAAAATTGACTGATCAATTCTTCTAAACTTTTATGTTGGCTCTAGGAGTTTGTAGGTTATGAATTTCTTACATAGAAAAATCATGTTTACAAATGAACACTTTTTTTTTGTTTGTTTGTTTTTGTTTTGTTTTTTGAGACAGGGTTTCTCTGTGGCTTTGGAGGCTGTCCTGGAACTAGCTCTTGTAGACCAGGCTGGTCTTTTTTTTTTTTTATTAAAGTTTTGTTTTTTTAAATATTTATTTTATGTATACAAGTGCTCTATCTGCATGTGTGCCTGTACACTAGAATAGGGCATCTGACCTCACTAAAGATGGTTGTGCGCCATGTGGTTGCTGGGAATTGAACTCAGGACCTCTGGAAGAGCAGCCAGTGCTCTTAACCTCTGAGCCATCTTCCCACCCCCAGGCTGTTCTTGACCCCACATAGACCCGCCTGCCTCTGCCTCCCGAGTGCTGGGATTAAAGGCATGCGCCACCACCGCCTGGCTCCAAATGAACACTTCTTATCTTTAACTTAAAAATTATTATTGTATGTGGACATATGCATGAGAAGGCATGTCACAGCAGATGTGTGAAGTCAGTAGACAATTTTGTGGGATTCTCTCCTTTCTCTTTTGTGTGGGCCCTGGGGATTGAACCCAGGTCACCAGGCTTGGATAGCAAGCACCTTTATCTACTGAGCCATTTCATGGGCCCTTGTCTGCCTTTTCTAATCCACTTACAGTTCTTATATCTGTGAATACTAAATTCCACAGTTAGATTTGTCAAATCTTTTAATATTACTATTCTTTATAATTATTAAAACAGATTTCTATATACTATTTGTGCTTGTATTGTTAAGTATGGTCAGTGTGCCTTATGGCTAACTCTTAACTAGCTTTTAATGCAGTATCAATTTAGGCCAAAAATGAGAAATTTTGGTTGTATCAACACACATCTCCTAAAATACTTGTGTGATATTCTAGTGATAGAGATAACTTGAACCACAGTTTGCTGGTTAAAGATATGTGGCCTTGGGCAAATCTGATTCTTAATGTGAAATGGAAATAATAAAAAGTACTCTTATTTCAGAAAAAGAAAACCCTAGCATTACATAGGATAACCCATGGTTTACTTTAATAACATATATAAAGTGTGAGTACCTGGTTATTATTGTTATTATCACAGGACACACAGACACACAGTTTTTCTGGTTTGTATATTGCAGCAAAGGAATACTTACCACCTAGCAAACTGTCTTGGGTGCTATAAATATCTTCAGAGAATGAGTGTGTAGACTCATTTTCCCTTTTTGTTTTCTTTGTTTCATCCTGTATAATAATTTAAAAAAGCATTACTAACACTTTAAGAAAACATAAGCTTCATCTAAAGGAGTACATAATTTACTACATAGTTTTTATGAGAAACTTTTATTTCACAGGCAGAATGTGAATTTTAGTGCATTTTCCACTGCACATTTAGCCTTTGTTAATCACTCAGGAGAGTCACATTAAAAGACAAGCAGCCTGCTGCTCAGTATTTTTTTTTTTTCGAGACAGGGTTTCTCTGTGTAGCTTTGGAGCCTATCCTGGCATTCGCTCTGGAGACCAGGCTGGCCTCAAACTCACAGAGATCCTCCTGTCTCTGCCTCCTGAGTGCTGGGATTAAAGGCATGCGCCATCAAAACCCGGCTCTGGGGCACTTTTAGAGACATGGTTTCACTATATATTAATTTCAGACTTTCTTGAAACTCATTGTGTAGGTCATAGCTTTCAGCCCATGGTCACTCTGCTACCTCTTGCTGTCGAGTGCTGGTATTATATATGTAAACAGCCATGCTCAGCTTGGGTAATTATTCTTTATCTATTACTATCATTTGGGCAAGCTTACAAACATCATGGGGAGTGTGAAGGGCAGAAGACAACTTTGGAAAATCGCTTCTTTCCTTCCACTTTTTGAGTAAGGACCTCTCTTGCCATTTCTGCTAGGGCAAGTACTCCTGGTTGCCCAGTCTGTGAGTTTCTGGGCATTCTCCTGTCTCTTCCTCCCATCTCACAGTAGGGGTGCTGGGTCACAGGTGCATGCTATGCTACCAGAAAACCTGGCTTTTTACCTGGGCTTTGGAGATTGACCTTGGGTCATCAAGCTTGAGTAATGGTACTTTTATCTGCTGAGCCACCTTGCCAGCCTCAGCTCAGATACTTTTTTTAATGTTTATTAAATCTTGTCTAAACAGCACTAGAGTAAGAATTCTTTGTTTTACTTTGCTTTATTTTACATTAAAAATAAAGCAAGAGTTCCAGTAATAAGGTGACACCTGATTCCACTAAATGATTTATAAACACATGTAGGTCTTGTTCTCCAAGTATTCTTTATGTTATACAAAGGATATATTAAATTAGTATTAGAAATAGATAACATAGGGAATATTTGAAATTTTTGAGGAAAACATTTGGCTTTATCATAGAAAAAGTATCACGTATCTCAAATATGTGGATCTAAATGGTGCCCTACTACATAGAAGCAGGCCAGCTTGAGCAATGGAGTGAAAAACCTGTCTCAAAAAGGCAACAAATACGGAGTCTTAAAGAAAATCCTCCTACAGTCACCAACCTCTATTCAGTAATACCTTTTTAGAGTTGCCCCCATACAATAGAAATGGCTACAGCTTAGAGCAGCTTGTTACTGAGACCATTCCTCTTAAGTAGACTTAAAATTACTGAGAACCAAATGGGATCACTGCCATGCCTTCAGACTGTATTTCAGCAGTCCTTTTGGGATACTGATTCTCACAACATTTCATGGATAATTTTGAGCTCTGGTGTTCTCTTGTGTTATTATTCTTTAAAATTTTGTTTCCTCTTAAATTTTATGTGTGTGGGTGTTTTGCCTACCAGAAGGTAGTGTTAGATCCCACAAAACTGGTGTTACAGTTATGAGCAACCATATGGATGCTAGGAATTGAACTAGGGTCCTCTGGAAGAATAGCCATCTCTCTTACCAGCAGAGCCATCTCTCCAGTCCCCACTCCTTTTCTTTGAGGTGGTCTAACATTGTAGCTCTTGCTGGCCTTACATTCACAGACATCCACCTGCCTCTGTCTCCAGAGTGCTAGAGTGAAAGACATGGGCTATCATGCCTAGGTATTTTTATGTTTTTAACTTATGTGTGTAAGTGTGTGTGGGTTTGTCCACATGAGCGCAGTGCCCCAGGAGGCCAGCAGAGGGCTTCTGGATCTGGAGTTACTAGGCCGTTGTGAGCTGCTGGATCAGGACGCTGAGAACAGAACTCAGGTCCAATGCAAGAGCAGTACTCAAAGTCTGAGCCCGTATCTTCAGCCCTCAATGTACCATTCTTAACTAAACATTCATCTTGCTCCTTTGATCCAACAAATAAAATGTTCAGGATACCTCCTTATATAATTTAAATTATTCTTTTTTGTTTTGTTTTGTTTTGTTTTGTGAGACAGGGTTTCTCTGTGTAGCTTTGAAACCTGCCCTGGAACTCACTCTGTAGTACAAGGTGGCCTCAAACTCACAGAGATCTTTCTACCTCTGCCTCCTGGAGTGCTGGGATTAAAAGCTCGAGCCAATGTAGAACTATAGTATCTAGACTATGACAAGTTTTGAAAATAAATAAATAAATAAAAAGCCAAGCGTGGAGGTTCAGGAGACAGAAGCACATGGATTTCTGTAAGTTCCAAGCCTGCATGGACCACATGACTTCCTGCTAGCCAGAACTTCATAGCTATATAGTGAGATCTTGTCTCAAAGGAAAAAAAATAGGAAAGGGAAAAAGAAAGAAAAAGAAGAAAGGAAGAAAAAGAAAGAAAATATGTAAAAGAATGAATCCTGGGAGCTGGAGCTGGTTCTCCAGAGGACCCTGGTTGGTCCCAGCACCCACAGAGTGAATGCCTGTGAGGTGCAGTCCCATGGATCAGCCATCCTCCTCTGGCTTCGGCGGGTACTGTCTGCAGATGGTGCATAGACATACATGCAGGCAAGATACCTTATAATAAAATAAACAATTTTTAAAAATCCTTAGCATCATATAAAGAGACAGTACTAAAAGCCCACTACATAGAAAGAACATGACCATTTTTTTTCTTTCATTTATAAAAGTTTTTTGAAGGGCTGGAAAGATGGCATAGTAACTGGTTAGGAACACTTGCTATTCTTCCAGAAGACCCAAATTCAGTTCCTACTACCCACACTGGGCAACTTACAGTTGCTTGTAACTCTGGGGGATCTGGTGCCCTTTTCTGGCCTCTGTGGAGTTTGCCCTCGCTAACATACACACACACACATAAATAATAAATCTTTAAAAGTGTTTTCTGAGGGGCTGGAGAGATGGCTCAGTGGTTAAGAGCAGTGGCTGCTCTTCCTGAGGACCCGGGGTCTACTCCCAGCACCCACATGGCAGCTCACAACTGTCTGTAACTCCAGTTCCAGGGGATCTGGTACCCTTACACCAACGCACATAAAATAAAGTTAAATAAAGTATTTTTTTTTAAAAAAAGTGTTTTCTGAGACAGGGTTTTGCTATGTAGCCCAGGTTGACCTCAAATTTAGGATGTTCCTGAGCCCACACCCAGGGTGTTAGGATTATAGGTATGTACCACTACTCCTGGCCCATGTTAACACTTCTCCGTTAGCAAATATATATTTTCAGTATATAGGGCTACATCCATAAAATAATTTATCTATTGTATTCCATAAAATAATGATCCCCTTAAAATTTGCTTCTAGTGCATAATTATGGATGATTCTTTTTAAAATTACACTCATTTTTGTGTATATATGACTGTGGACATAATGTGTACTCTGGCACTCATGTGATGGTCAGAGTGTAGCTTGTAAGAGTCAGTTCTCTCCTACTGGTTAGGCCTGGAGGTTGCAGTCAGGTCATAACTCAGGTCATCAGGCTTGGTGGCAAGTGCTTTTGCCTGTTGAGCCATCCTCAATAGCCAATGATGCATAATTCCTTAAGTATTTTATTTGAATAATTTCTAGAGGTAGACTTTTTGTTTTGTTTGTTTTTGTTTTTCAAGACAAGGTTTCTCTGTAGCTTTGGAGCCTGTCTTGGAGCTCATTCTATAGACCAGGCTGGCCTCTAACTCAGAGATCTGCCTGCTAGAGGTAGACTTTTAAATTGCAGTTTATCTTGGATCCCTAAAATTAAACAAGCCCTTTAGGAAGGCTTTGTCAGTTTATATTCTGGACCACATGAGTTTTTCATTGTTTGTCCATTTTTTTTAAAGTCAACTTTTAATATGGTACAACTTAATGCATTCCTACTAACTTCCTACACTCTTGCTAGCAACGACAAAAGTCAACCTTCTTCAAGATCTTGAGACATCAGGATCTCTTTTATTCCATGAGAAAGGGCACTGAGACTTCCCATGAAGATACAGGATGGATGCTGTCGACGTCATACACGACAGCCGCTCATTTGCAGACAGACACCGTGAGGGTGCACTGGAGCAGGAGGCAGGTCCTTGCTCGGGCTCTCATCCTGTTTGTGACGGAGCTGCGGCCTTGGCCCTTAGATGCACACCTGGAACGTCATGAGCAGAAAGGATCTGCTTTAGCGTGGTGTCTGGAAAATTGTACCACCCTTTGCATATACCAAGACTAAGAAAACCAGGCCCTGCATGCCCCTTCCTTCTGTGTCCACTGGAGATCTTTTTACCATCCTCGTAATTTTGAAAAGAAAAATGTTCATATGAGAGCAAGCTGGGTTCTCTCCTCAAACTTCTTACTGTAGAGTGCACTGCACACCTGAGGCAAGTCTGAAGTGATGGAGCTGGCTTCTATACAGAAGGGTGACTGAGTAGGAGACATCTTGAGAAGGACCACTGACATCTATTGTTTCCAACTCTGACATACTTTCTAAATTTTCATGGAAAGCATCCACTTCAAAATGTACAGGAGCTGAAGATAATGACAATAACTTTTCCCTAGCTGGGCAGTGGTGGTGCACACCTTTAGTCCCAGCACTCAGGAGATGGAGGTAGGTGGATCTCTCTGAGTTCGAGGCCAGCCTGCTCTACAAAGCTACACAGAGAAATCCTGTCTCGAAAAACCAACCAACCAAACAAACAAACAAATAAAAAGACAATAACTTTCCTCCTTTTGTGTGCTGTCAGGGATGATGACCAAAATGTTTGAAAGTCCTTACATTTGTAACTGTTGAATGATGGAAGGCCTCTTACAAACAAGCAAACGAAAGAGAAAGACATTTTTAGTGTCAATCAGTATTTGCAAAGACTTTCCTTGCCCCTTTTCACAATAAGAAAGCAGGAAAGGGGGCTGGAGAGATGGCTAAGTAGTAAAGAGCTGGCTGATCTTTCAGAGGACCAAGGTTCCATTCCCAGCACCCACATGGCAGCTTACAACTGTTTGCAATTCCAGTCCTGTGTAGCACAGATTCTGAATGACATTTATAATAAAAACTCAGAGTTAGCTATCATGGTGAAAGCTGAAAGATCAGAGAAGCAAAGCAGCCAGCCACCAATGCTCAGTAAAGGTATGTCACTCCAAGTACTGGGATCACCTCTGTATGAGCTCTGTTTCTCTTTTAGACTGGATGAACTTTGTGTAGCCCAGGGTGGCCTTGAACTAACAGAGATCCACCTGCCTCTGTCTCCCAAGTGCTGGGATTAAAGGTGTGTACCATCATTAATTACCTGGCCTCTATGGTTAACTAGTGTGGCTATCTTTGCACTCCCATCTTCAGGCAAGCTTTATTTGTTAGATCATAAACAAAATATCACCACAGTCCTGCAAGTCTTTTTGGGGCACTGCACGCATGTGGTGCACAGACACACATGCAGGCCAAACTTCCATACACTTAAAATAAGAATTTAAAAGAAAAAAAAACAGTAGAGTTCACTACTCTAGATTTTAAAACATCATTTTCTGATTTGCTATGACAGTAAATAGTGATTTGGCCAAAACAAGCCAATGTGTGTAGCATTTATCCAATAATGACCTACAAAATGAAGGGGTCTGTTATTTCCAAAATACTACCAGAAATTTTTATGTTTTCATCAAATATTTCATTTCTGGCTGATGCCTTCTACTTCATCACACTAAGTCAAATCCAACACTGTACAGTTTTTTCAAACCACACGTGTTCTCTCAAACAACTGGGATACACAGCCTGGTCTGCCTTAAATTCGTGGCAATCCTCCTGCCTCAGCCTTCTGACTGCTGGGATTATGCAGTGTTACAATGACATTCAGCCTCAGTTTCCGCTTGGTTTACTTTCAGCATGTTTTGCAAGAGTGAATAAATGAAAAACTGGAAGTGTCTTAGCTGTCATCACTCATGGCTACTGTCATCAAATCATGCCCATTTTTCCTTCATAAGTACTTGTCCATAATCCATGTTTCAGTCCACCCCGTCTTCACTGACATATATCTGCCAGGAGACAGGATAAGTAGGTCCAACCACAGTCTAAATTCTTCTACTTGTCCTTGAAGGCATTTCATACCCCACACCCACATATTTTACCCAATACTACACTCCCTGTTCTAGCAGATCAGATCCGTTTCCCTACAAAGGGTTGCCTTCTACCGTCCCAGCCACCTCCCCAAGCCTGTGCTTCTTCTAGAATCATTAGTTCGCTTTCTGTCGCTGTGACTAAACACCACAACCAAAAATGACTTGGAAGGGTTTGTTTGGCTCCTAGTGAGGTTCACAGTCCATCACTATGGGAACTCAGCGCAGAAGTGTGAGCAGGAGCAGAGGAGGAACAGGGAGGAGTGCTGCTTACTGTTTTGGTCAGCTGTCTTTTGTTTTTTTTCTTCACAGCCCAGGCCCACCAGCTCAGGGATGGCAAAGACCACAGTGGGTTGGACCCTCCAACACCAAGAATTAAGAAATGCCTCACAGAAATGACCACGTAGCCATTTCTGATGGAGGCAACTCCACAAATGAGGTTTCCTTTTCCCGGATGACTCCAGTTTGTATCAGGCTGACAAAAGCCAGCACAACATCCATCTGGTTTTAAATTTTCTATGGTGTTTAGTTAGTCTTTGCATTTGCTTTCTCATAATTCATCATTATCAGTTTACTGTTTAGTCTTCACTGTTACTCCAAGGGTGTTACTAATTTTCCATTTACATATTATTATTGACTGGCAAGGAGATTATTTACATCTTTCTTTCCTTTTTTTTTTTTCGAGACAGGGTTTCTCTGTGTAGCTTTGGAGCCTATCCTGGCACTCGCTTTGGAGACCAGGCTGGCCTCGAACTCAGAGATCCGCCTGCCTCTGCCTCCATCCCGAGTGCTGGGATTAAAGGCGTGCGCCACCAAAGCCCGGCACACCAATTTTAAAAAAAAAAAAAAAAATGAAAAAAACCAGTTGTCTCATTTGCATCCCAAAACAACGCACCAACGCTTCTAGGGCGCAAAAGTGTGCTCACTTCCATGATCCATAGAGTTTCTGGGACCCAGGCTAAGGATTCCGGGTCTCCTCGGCACGCCAGGACCGCGGGAGGAAGGACACCTTCCAACCGTCCCCGCAGAGGCCGTCTTCCCCTGGCTGTGTCGCCGAGAACTCGAACGTCCCAGTGTGACGTCCTCTGGACCTCACTGGAGTCCGGAGGAAGGAGGCCAAAGGACGCAAGTCTTCAAGAGCAGCCGGGGGATAAGAAGCCTGACTCTGTGAGGCGGGAACACCGCGGCGGAGCAAGAACGAAAGGATGGGGGCAGAACCGACACCACCCGTCCCGTCCCGCCATCAACGCAACACGCCCACTTCACAGCGCGGATTGGCCCTTCCCAGCCACCGTAGCGCGCCAGTTCCGGGCGAGCCTTAGGGCACGGGGCGGAACTGCGGGTGGCACACTTCCGACATTGCTCTTCCGGTCTGTGGGTGGCGTCTTTGCAGAAATCGTGTGTGCTGAATACTCTGCGGCGCCTGGTTGCTGCTTTGGGCCTGGCGGTTGCCCAGCGATTTTTGTGAGACGGAAATCGCGGGGACGCGGTTGGGTTCGCGGTTGGGTGAAAAGCCGTCGCTTCCGCGAGGCCTCACCCCACCTGTCATGGACTGCAGTCGGGATAGGATGGTCGCGGTGGTCCCCGGGCAGTTCGACGACGCGGACTCCTCAGACAGGTAGGCGGCCGGAGACCACACACGGACGGCTCGGACTCCGCGGTCCTCTCGGGGAGCTGACACCTGACTGGTTTGGACTGTGGTTTCCTCGCGGCCTGTCCTGGGCAGGTCGTGAAAGCTGCTGCTCAAGGAGTCTGGGTTCCCAGCATGATTAGCAATTGAGGACAATTGAGAAACGCAGGACTTTCTCCCGCCCCACATACATCCAGCATGTTTTTACTCCCACTGGAGATAGTGGTGAACAAGGCGAACCGAGTCTCTACTGCCTATTTGGAAAGGAGAGCAGATGCCGATAGTTTAAATGGGCGCATTGAGCAGGAAAGAGCCAGATTTAAAAGCTTGGGGGAACGCTCGCCTAACTAGACAGGGCTCTGATTCCGTCTCCAGTACTAAAGCCACAAAAAGTCCAGATTAAATGTCTAGAAGATGCAGGGGAGAAACAACATTTGTGACCAAGTGGACAGGTGAAGGCCCTGTAGTGGATTCTAATTGGCTGAAGTGGCTGAGAGGAGTAAATATCCTGTTACAGGTCTTTTTTCTTACTTTTGATTTTTGATTTTTCGAGACAGGGTTTCTCTGTGTAGCTTTGGAGCCTGCCCTGGCACTCACTCTGGAGACCAGGCGAACTCACAGAGATCCGCCTGCCTCTGCCTTCCGAGTGCTGGGATTAAAGACGTTCGCTACCAACGCAGGTCTTAAAAGGCTAAAGGAAGGCTTTTAGTAGATACAGGGAGTCATTGGATTTATGGATTAAAGGACTGGTCAGTTACGTAGAAGATGTTCTTGGAGAGTAAGAGTGGAACAGAGAACCAATTAAAACACACAAACAGCTGGCACGGTGGTGGCACACACCTTTAATCCCAGCACGGCTGAGGCTGAGGCAGGTGGATCTCTGTGAGTTCGAGGCCAGTCTGGTCTACAGAGTGAGTTCCAGGACAGACTCCAAAGATACACAGAGAAACCCTGTCTCGAAAACCCAAAACAAACAAACCAAGCCAGGTGTAAACATGATGGCTCTATGATCGTGGAATGATGTTGAGACTTTGTGGTTAAATTAGATGGGAGGTCTGATGAAAGCAGTGATGGAAAACTTCCCATTGAGAAGAAAAGACAATTAATATAGTCATTTTGAAACAACAAAGAAATTTGTGTACTTTATGTCATGCAGATGATATTATCAATTAATAGTGGTATTGATAAATATATTGACTATGCTGTGTGCCAAATCTAGTGTTAGGGAAATGTTGGTATTGATAAAAGGGTTGTCTTTTGCTAGGGGAAGTTGATACTAATAATGAGGCAGGTTATTGGTATTACAGTTCAATGGTGAATAGTGCAAAGGAGAAATGAGTAAATAGGAGCATATAGTAAGTTAGTAGAGGATGAGTGGGGATTAGCAAGAGAAACGAGAGAGATCTCCAGTCTTCCGGTTCCAGGTCCTCTCATAGGAATTGTTGCTGAAAAGTAAGTGGGAAGAGGGAACAGGGTGTAATGGTAATGCCAGTGTACTGTTTGCCCACTGTCCCCATGCACACAGGACGCTGTGAGGATAAACCAGTGCTCCTCTCCTGGATGGGATTTTGCCATTGCACCAAAGAGACGTGGCACTCTCAGACCCATTTTTATATATCACACCTGGCCTGGGGTGGAGTTTGCTCATGGCATCTGGTAGGTAGGCAGAGGCTTGCAGCGCTTTCTGTACAAGACATTCTCACCGCAGAGGACTGACCAGTGGAGACTGAGGACACCAGGATTGTTCACATAGTTGTAACTTTAACCTACCACTCTAGGTCATTAGATTTGTAAGTGAGGGAGTAATTTATGTATTATACTTAAATGACGTCCTAGTAAGTAGCAGTTATTTAGCAATTGTCTCTCTTCTTCCTACTCATACCCATAAGCGTTTGAAGTCCTGTGAGCTGTAGCCAATTAATAAATTGGAGTTGATAACTTTATTTACTTATTTAAATACAGGGGCCAGCTGTGGTGGCACAGGCCTTCAGTCCCAGCAGTCTGAAAGCAGAGGCAGCAGATCTCTGTGAATTCAAGGCCAGCCCTATCTACATAGTTCATTTCAGCACAGTCAGAGCCACACAGTGAGACTCTGTCTCTAAAAGGGAAGGAAAGGCTGGGCATTTAGCTCTGTGATAGAGTGCTTGCCTAGAAAGGGTTCAGTCCTCAGAACTGGGGTGGGGGGTGGCTATTTTTATGGTCAGGTGAGGTGACGAACATCTTTAATTCCAGCACCGGGAAGGCAATGGAAGGTGGATCTTTGAGTTCAAGCCCAGGCTGGTCTGCATAGCAAGTTCCAGGCCATGGCTACATGGTGAGACAGACACTGTCTTTAAAAAAAGAAGAAAGGAATGGGCATACCACTTCACCGATTTATTTGCATGTCATCCTTGGTGGAGAACCCATGCTAATGTTGGAATTGTTCCTGTTGTATTATTGTGTGAGGCTGAATCAGGCATTATGTCTTTTTAAGTAGTACATATTATTAGTTGTTTTATATGACTACCAGCCTGTTCTTTGTATGAAAGGTCAAAGCTGGCAACAATGATTGAATTTGGTGGTAGATGTGTTTTGTTTGGGATGCACAAAGTTTTATAAAAAATCGAACCTGGCACCAGTTGTGGTGATACACTCCTTTAATTCCAGCACTCAGGAGGCAGAGACAAGCAGATCTCTGTGAGTCTGAGGCCAGCCTGGTCTACAAAGTGAGTTTCAGGACAGCTGGTCTACACAGAGAAACCCTATCTCACCAAAACAAAAAAGAAAAAAAGTAGATGGAACAGATTGGGAAAGGTAAGGGAATCTTTTTGTTTTTGTTTTTTGATTCAGGGTTTCTCTGTGTAGCCCTGGCTGTCCTGAAGCTTGCTCTGTAGATCAGGCTGGCCTTGAACTCACATAGATCTGCCTGCCTCTGCCTCCCAAGTGCTGGGATCAAAGGTGATCACACCACCACCCAGAAAGTAAGGGAATCTTTAGGATTGTATGTGTGTATGCTTTTTCCCCCTAGAGGATGTATAAACATGCCAGAACATTCTTTTGTCTAGTGAAAGCACAAACGTGAAGTCAATTCAAGCAAAAGACGATATCCTACTTAAAAACCCTCAGAATGATGTGACAGAGGTACAGAGTGAAGGTGAGATTGAGGAGGAAGACAACTATGACTATGACAGTGATTGGTTCTGGGATGATACAACCGGAAAACTCACCAAGAGTTCTACCTGGAATGGAGGCAGTAACCGGCAGGTATGTCCGTGTGTGTGTGTGTGTGTGTGTGTGTGTGTGTGTGTGTGTGTGTGTGTGTGTGTGTGTGTGTGTGTGTGTTTTGCATGCATGGGGGGGAGGGGTGTCAGGTATCTTCCTCATTAGTTCTCCACTTTATCTTTTCTTTGTGTGTGTGTCTGTGTGCACATGTGTGTTCACAGACCTCTGTGCATATGGGGGGAAGTAGAATGAGTAACAGACCCTGGGAGCTTGAGTTACAGATGTTTTTGGGAACCCCCCCAGCTTCTTAAGTGGGTGCTGAGATCCTATTCCAGTCCTCATATCTGCTGTCCTCATCCAGTCCTCTCTACCTTCTCTTTTGAGGCACAGCATCTCACTGAACCTGAAGTTCACCATGTTGCTAGCCACTGGCCAGTGGCTTCCAGAAAGCCTCCTCTCTCAGCCTCCCTGGTGCTGGAATCATAGATATATGCCACTGAATTTTTTTAAAAATACTACATAGAGCTGATATATATCCCAAGGCCAAAAGTTATTTTAAAAGTTAAAGGGGCTGAAGTTAAAGAGATGGCTTAGTGGTTTAAAGCACTTGTTGCTCTTGCAAAGGACCTGGGTTCAATTCCCACAACCTACATGGCAGCTCACAACCATCAGTAACTCCAGTTCTGGGGGATCCAATGCCGTCTTCTGGTCTCTATGGGCACCAGACACCATGAGATGCATATGCATACATACAGGTGAGACATTCATACATATAAAATTAGATAACTAAATCTAAAAAAATTTACATTAAATTTAATAGAAAATCTTTTTAAGCTTTTTACAAGTAGGACAACCCAGCCTTGAGTTTCATGCTGAGATACAAGAAGACTGGATCAACAATTATTCAGAGCCCTTTTTTTCTATGCTGCAGTCTCTTTGAGTTTTACATATTGTTTCTGCTTCTCCTTGGTGTCATTTAAGGTTGTCCAGAGCACCAATCTAAGTGCTGAGCCTCAGGTTCTCTCTTCCCTTTTCCTTTCTTGAGGTGTCAGGCTTAAAATAATGCTAGAATAAATTTAATGTTAGCCTTAGCTCTGTATTAAATACTTTGAAGGTAAATGAATGTTCTCAAGTATCAAACCTGTAAACCAGTTAAATAACAAAAAATCTAACATAATTCATAATAACAAGATATATTGAAGGGAAGTAAATAACATGTGATCTGTGTTCTAGTCAGTAACCTTCTTCTCTTAGAAACGCCTTTTTTCTCTTTTATTCTTTTTATATGTATGGGTATTTTGTCTGCATAGATATCTGTACACCATGTGCGTGCAGTCCATGAAATGCCTGAGGATCCCCTAAACTGAAGTTATTATGGACGGTTGTGAGCTGCCACATGGGTACTGGAAACTGAACCCATTCTGGAAGAGCAGCCAGTGCTCTTAATTACTGAGCCATCTCTCCAGCCGTAAAAACCTTAAAAAGGAAAAAAAAAGTTTTGTATTGTGCTCCTGCATGTAATGATGCTTTCATAACTAACTGAATGGGGGCAGGGGAGATGGTTCAGCAGGTAAATAAATGTACTTGGTGTCAAGCCTGACAGCCTGAGTTAAATTCCTGGGACCACCAGGGTGGAAGAAGAAAATCACCTCTTAAAAGTTCTCCTCTGACCTCCATATGTGTGGTGCCCCTCTCCCAAAACATTTAAAAAAAAAAAAAAAAAAAAAACCTGGGGGAAAAAGAATGTAATTATGAACCTTAGACTTGAATTTACAACTAATCCTTTTTTAAACTAATATCTTTTAGGCAAATCCCCAGACTTCTAACTGCAGTTCAACCAAAATGTCTACTCCAATTGACAAGTCCTTGCGAAAATTTGAAAATAAAATCAATCTAAGTAAGTTTATTTATTTATTTATTTATTTTTGGTTTTTTGAGACAGGGTTTCTCTGTGGCTTTGGAGGGTGTCTTGGAACTAGCTTTTGTAGACCAGGTTGGTCTCAAACTCACAGAGATCAGAGTGCCTCTGACTCCTGAGTGCTGGCATTAAAGGCGTGAACCACCACCAGGCTCTAAGTAAGTTTTTTAAAGATACATTGCCTAGCTGGGCACTGAGTTTGAGACCAGCCTGTGGGGATACATTGTATATGATCTAATAAAGCTTGCCTGGAGATCAGCATGCAAAACTGGCCATAGAAGCTAGGCAGTGGTGGTGCACAGCTTTAATCCCAGGACTCAGGAGACAGAGGCAAATGGATCTCTGTGAGACCAAGACTACTCTAGGCCACATGAGAGTGAATCAGTCTAAAAGAGAAACAGCTCATGCCTTTAATCCCAGCACTAGAGAGGCATCTAAAATAGGAGCAGGGACTCAGATTCTGGTAATTAGTCTCCAGCCACATTGAGTACAGGATCCCTTCCCCAGCCTTGGGAGAGGTAAGAGCTCTCTGATGGCTTGACTGCTTTGCTTTTCTGTCTTCAGCTGAACCCCAATATCTGTCTCTGGGTTTTTATTAATCATGATATACTCACTAAAGAGTGAGCTCCAGGACAGTCAGGGACAGAGAAACCCTCTCTTGAAAAAACAAACAAAAAACATGGCCTAACTGGACTGTGAAGAGATTCTTCCAAATGCTGAAATGTTAGGTGTTTTTGTTGGTTCAAGAAGTAAATGTATTTGACTCAGTGATAGAGCTGAATGAAGAAAAGTAACTTAGTGTTGTTTTAATTCATACTTTCTTAGTTCTCTTCATCTGTTGTGGGAATATGAAGTTTCAGATACTCATTTCAATTCTTATCTGTTCTGCATTGGATTTTGTATTAAAACAGTTAAACGTGCTATTTTGTTTGGTTAGACACTTTATGATGATGTTAATGGTTTAGTTGAAATCCAGTCCTAGTTTGAACTATACTTCTTTAAAAATGGAAGGCTGTCATCTTCTCCTTGCACTGTCTTGACTCTCTAAACTGTAGCTTTAGAGAGTATGCTGCCCATACATATCAAACTAATGTATGTAAGTATTTCACAGTCTTCATGATATACCTCTAACTTGAGTTTGCAGAGTTAAACTTTGAATTCAGACACTTGTGTTATCTATATTGTACAAAATAGTAAGTATCTGAGAATTTAATATGTAGATCCAATGTTTTTGAGTATTCACCTAGAATTTTAGAATTCTGGCTCAAAAATCTTACCTATAGTGCTAAAAGAGCACTATAGGTAAGACAATATCTTAATTTGTTACTTGCCTTATAAGTAAAATTTTAAAACTACAGAAGGGGGAAGTATCCTTTCAGAGACTGTTAGTGTCTTTGTCTTTTGTATTGTTTACATTGTGAGTTTCTGTATTTTTAGATAAACTGAATGTTACTGATTCTGTCATAAATAAAGTCACCGTAAAATCTAGACAAAAAGAAGCAGAATCGTAAGTAATGTTTTCATTATAAAGCGTGGTTGGTGCAGACCAATTTCCTGACTGAGTAGAAGAATTGTTCTGCAAAGGGTGTTTATTAGCGTAGTGTGTGCTTTTGTAAATCTAAATAGTAAATGAATTTCACGTAGTAAAAGTACAGTCATATGGAGTCTATAAAAGTGTTTTCATAAGGATAAGTGTTTGTAGATTCCAGTTTAGACTAAGACCTGGCTGACTTCTCTCTTGTGCTAATAACTGGCATGATCATTGCAATATAGAAAATAACATTAGTCCAGTAGCAGTGTTAAAACTGAACAAGAAAATCATGTTTTAGTGCCATGGTTCATTGCCGTGTCCACAGAGCTGATTGCTTTCTGAGTAACACCTTAGTCACTTGGTATTTCACTGACCTGCCTGTCTTCCTCCTTGTATTTGAACTCTTGTTAGTTTAGGTTAGTGTGTTGGATTGAGTTATCTCATATATGCGCTGAAGCAAATCAAGAGTCTGTCTGCCTTTGAAGATAATTTTGAGATAAAATTCTAAAAAAAAGCAGCATTATAAATAAATGAGCAGTTCTTTACTAGTAGAATCTTTAAAGAGTTAAAGGACAGTATGAACACAATGAGTATTTCCCTTGTCACTGTATTCCAGTTGGTCTTTTATTTAATACCTTAAGAACATAGAAGGACTTTCTCTTACACACACATTCTTATTCCCTCTTCCTCTTTTTCTTTCTTCCCCTCGTTTCCTCCTCTCTCCACGTTCCCTCTCTTCCTTCCCTCTGTATGCATATGTGAAATGTATTATATAATTTACACACACACACACACACACACACACACACACACACACACACAGGTGCGTGTGAGCATGTGCACTCGCACCTCCCTAGTAGGCATATCCAACCTGTGGGCTCATGTGTGAGTGCATGTGACTGAGGATAAGCACCGTGGCCCAACAGAAAATTACAAACTTACTTAAAACATGAGGTTTGTTGTTTCTGTAGTTTCTTGATTGCATGGCTCTCAAGTGAGCGTTGTAGGTTACATGTCCTGGGGAAATACCAAGAGGGGTCCTGGGAGATAGTGGGGCGAGGGAGCAGCAAAAGTGCTTGTCATGCAAGCTCACAACCAGAGTTTGATCCCTGATGGTGGAAGGAGGGAACCAACTCCCAAAACTTGTCTTCTGATCCACATGTGCAGGATGGCAGTCTCTTATCTACACTTTAAACATAAGAATAATAAATGGAAAAAATGAAAACTTTAAAATGAAAAGAAATAAAAGATTGGACATGCCTGCTAAGAATAGACTTGCATGCACGGAGAAATTGAGTTTTACTGAGTGAAGAGTCTATGTCAAATTAGGATGAAAAATCCTTAAGAAAAATTCCTTAAGAATTGTCACAGAGCTGGGTGTTGGTGGCACATGCCTTTAATCCCAGCACTTGGGAGGCAGAGGCAGGCTGATCTCTGAGTTTGAGACCAGCCTGGTCTACAAGAGCTAGTTCCAGGACAGACTCCAAAGCCACAGAGAAACCCTGTCTCGACCCCCCCCTCCCTCCCCCCCCAAAAAAGAATTGTCACTGAATTGTGTACATTTAGAAGTCTCATTCTGGCTTCTTGGTGAGTTTTCAATATCTTTGTTTTTGCTTAGGTATCGAGTTAAAGATAAGGCTGACAGAGCAACTGTAGAACAGGTATGCTTGACATGCTGCATGGTCTTGTGTGAAATTAGCATTCCTTTGTTCTCTGAATTGTGCCTTGTTTTTAGCTTCCTTTTGCTTGGTGTTGATCTCACCTAAAATTGCTCCTGAGTAAACAGTTTGAAGTTCAGTGATTAGCATTTTGCTGTATAATAGGACCACAGTAGGTAAGGTAGAGCCATGGTCCTTGTATACTTGAAGCTACTACTATGCACTGCTTCCCCCTTCTCAGAAGCTGGGAAAGCAGAGATTATAGAGATTATCAGACTAGAGTTTTTTGAAGTCTATTTATTTTCTTTCCCATTAAATAAATTGAATATCTGCCATGAAATAGGTTGAGTACCTACCTGCCATGTACCTGGGTTACATATAGATGAGGGGAAAGGGAAATTTCTAACTAGAGACCTCTTTCTTACATGTGCTTTATTCTTTGGAGCGGGTGGGGTGCTAGCCCCGAATTTCTTACAGGCAGCAGGATGTGATTGAAGTTTGCTGTGTGTGTGTGTGTGTGTGTGTGTGTGTGTGTGTGTGTGTGGGTGTGAGAGAGAGAGAGAGAGAGAGAGGGGGGGGGGATGCTCTCAGTAGTCCTTGCTGGGCTGAAACTTGCTGTTTAGACCACAGAGATAGGCTTGCCTTTTGTCTCCTGAGTGCTGGGATTAAAGGTGTATATCATCTGATACATATTTTTGATGTGAAGAAAATGATTTTTTAAAAAGGTTTAGGTTATTATTGTTGCTGCCTACTTGGGCTCTCCTCTACCCATATGTATATGAACAATTCCACAATTTGAAATAGCAACTTTGTCACCTATAGTTCTTGACTTAAGATTTAAACACCCCTCTTTCCTGTACCCCCAAGCTGACCTACAGTCTAGAACCAGTTTGTGGAATTGATGAATCATTGGACATGAAAGAGCTTATTTATAATGTTAGCTTATTATTGTATGTTGTACTGGTTAGTTTTTGTTGTTGTTCACTTGCTACAAACTAGAGTCACCTGAGAAAAGGGAACCTCCAGTGAGGAATTGCCTCCATCAGGTTGACTTTGTAGGCAAGTCTGTGTGCCAGCCCACTGGGGATGGTGCCACCTCTGAACACGTAATCCTGAGTTGTGTAAACAAGCAAGCTGAGCAGTCAGCAAGCCAGACAGCAGCTTTCCTCCATGGTTTCTGCCTCAGTTCCTACATTGAGCTCCTGCCCTGACTTTGCTCAGTGGTGGTTTGCTGGAAGTGTAAGATGAGATAAACCTTTTTCTCCCCAAGTTGTTTTGGTCATGGTGTTTATCACAGCAAAAAAACCAAACTAAAACGTGTGTGTATGCATGATGGGGGAGGCAATACCTGTGCAATGGTGCCTGTGTGGAGGTCGTAGGATAACTTCATGGGGTTGGTTCCATCCATCCACCTTTACATGGGTGTGTTTGGGTGGCAAGCACCTCTTTACACTGAGCCATCTTGATCACTCTGGGTATTTACTTTTATTGCCCTGTAATTTATTTTGTCTGTTTTCATGATTGTACTTAAACACAAAGCATTTCTTTTTAGGTTTTGGATCCCAGGACAAGGATGATTTTATTCAAAATGTTGCATAAGGAAGACATAGCAGAAATTCATGGCTGCATTAGCACTGGAAAAGAAGTGAGCTTTTGTTGGGATGGCAGTGTTTTCATGTTAGTTTTCTTATTTCAAATAACAAAGAAAAGTAAGGCACTTTATAATTTGTGCCTTTATAAAGAAAAGAAAGCTGGGCGTTGTGACACACACCTTTAATCTCATTACTCAGGAAGCAGAGGCAGGTATGTCTCTGTGAGTTCCAGGCCAGCATGGTCTACATACCAAATTCCAGGCCAGTTGGATCTACATAGTGAAACCCTGTCTCAAAAAAGAAAGAAGGCTACACACACTGGATAGTTTATTAACAGTGTTTCTAGACATTGTTAATTATGTTGCTTGATAGTTAGTTGATATGAAATTGTATGTACCTTATCCTGATCACTTTATTATATCACTGAGTCTGTGTGCCCAGCAGTGAGCTTCTATTTTCAAATGGTACAGTAGTCCTGAGTCCCAATTTAAAATTACTGTTAATGAATGAGGGTTGTTGATTCACTTCTATGAGCTAGTCTGTCTTGTTCGTTTATTTGTAAGTCTAGAAAAAGGTTGGTGTGACTTTAGAAAAAAAAAAAAAACTGTATTAGTTACTCTTCTCTTGCTATGATAAAATACATAACCAAGAACAGCTTAAGGGAGGAAGTTTATTTTGTTTTAGGGTTCCAGAGGGTTAGAGTCCATAGTGGCAAGCAGCAAACAGGAAGCAGAGAGAGTAAACTAGAAGGGACCCAGGCTGCTAATCGTCAAAGCCTGCCTCCAGCAACTTACTTCCTCCAGCGGTCTTATGCTGCCCTCTTAAAAGTTCCATAAGCGGGGGCTGGAGAGATGGCTCAGAGATTAAGAGCACTGACTGCTCCCAGAGGACCCGAGTTCAATTCACAGCAACCACATGGTGGCTCATAACCATCTGTAATGAGATCTGGTATGCAAGCATGGTATACAGATAACTGTATACATAATAAATAAATAAAGTCTTTTAAAAAAAGTTCCGTACGCTCCACGAACAGCATCACCATTGCAATCAGGTGTTCAGATCCATGAGTCTATGGAGGACATTGTTCATTCAAACTGTCACAATTAGCAACTATTCTGTGGAATTAATTAGATGTAAGAAAATTTTCATTAAAGATAAATGTGTGAAACCAATTCCACTTAAATTGGACTTTTCTATATACATTATGCCTCATGTAACAATAGACTACATTCAGAGAAACAAGTCATTAAGCAGTTTTGTGTAAACCAAGATGTATATGACATCACTATAGGTGATACAATCTTTTTTCTATTTATTTATTTACTTGTTTGTTTGTTTTGCTTTTGGAGACAGGGTTTCTCTGTAGGTTTGGAGACTGTCCTGGAACTTTCTTTGAAGACCAGGCTGGCCTCGAACTCACAGAGATCCTCCTGCCTCTGCCTCCCCAATGCTGGGATTAAAGGTGTGCAGCACCACAACCGGCTTTAGGTTATACAATCTTATGGAACCACTCTGGTATATAGGGCTCATCATTGACCAGAACACAACAGGGTGGCATGTGAATTCCTATGCTTGAGGTGTATTTATTATGATACAATGTTTCATTTTGATTCACACCTTCAAGAGATGACAGCAATGTAGAAGTTGTTTCAGTTCACTTTTAAGGTTAGAACCAACTAGAAAACTGGCATTAGTTATTTAACTAATTAACTAACTAATGCTTCATTTCCTTTGTTTTTGCTTAAAATAGGCTAATGTATACTATGCTACCACAGCCAGTGGAGAAAGCAGAGCAATCAAAATATACAAAACTTCTATTTTGGTATTCAAAGATCGAGATAAGTATGTAACTGGAGAATTTAGGTGAGTCCAGATTCTTGAATTCCTTTTTCAAGTGTTAAAATAGTATAATGCAGTGATTAAAGTAACAAATATTTTCTTACTCTAGATTTCGCCGTGGCTATTGTAAGGGAAACCCTAGAAAAATGGTGAAGACATGGGCAGAAAAGGAAATGAGGAACTTATCCAGGTAACTGGTGGTGTGTGGGTTGGGGGGCGGGGTCACTTTCTTAACTGTGTCTGTCTATCTGTGCCCTGCCCTTTAAAACAGAGGGGGCATCATTATACCATGTAGCTCCATTACATATGCTTAACTAAGTAGAAGAATTTTGCTGAGTCTGAAGCCATGTGAAAACACGTAGAATTTGTTCTGAGGAAGATAAAACTTTTACAGGATTTTAGACAGTAGTACGTGACATGGTGATGATAATGCTGTCATTAAAAAAAAAATTACAGGGGTTTCAGTTAAATTTTGTCAGATCCTTAAGCTCTTTGTCTAATAACTTGCTTTTCTTAGTCTAGTTTGTCATTTTGCTGTATGTACTGTAAAGAAAGGACATGTGCCTAGTTTTCTAGTTTTCTCAAAATTTGTGGAGGTTTCTTTCCCCTTTCCAGTGTCTTTTAACTTTTTATGTGATATCCATAAGTATAATTTGCTATTAAGCCAGTACCATTTGGTTTGGAAATCCTTTGAAATCTTCCTGTGCCCAACTAGCCACTAGGTGTGTGTACAGTGATTTTATTTTTGAGATTAGTAAACTCAAAAGATAGTTGTTGACATAGTTGCTATGTCTTATCAATTCTAAGATTACCCCTCCCCCCCATCCCAGTTTAACACCTCTGGAAGTGGATTGAGTGCCACAGGTTATGGGATTTAATAGTTTATCAATGTTTTGATGTTCTTGGTGTTACATGATAGTGCCTCTTAAAACCACTGGTTTATGAAATAGGAATACAGTTGAGAGGACTTGGTACTGTTTCCTAATAGCAGTATTCATGCCATGGTCTGTAGCTGCTGTAATTTGTTTATATTTCTTTTGACTCTCCAATTGTCCTTTTGTCTACATCATAGGCTAAGAACAGCAAACATACCATGTCCAAAACCAATCAGGTTAAAAAGTCATGTTCTTCTCATGGGCTTCATTGGCAAGGATGACATGTAAGTATGTGGAGATCAGAGAATTTCATGGTGAAACTATTTTGTGTCCTGTGAGCTATGTACTAGATAAGTGTCTCCCCTGGTTCCTTTCCTGCGTCTTTCCTGCTGTGTTAGGGCCTAACTGTTATGATTTACCATTGTGAAGCTTCACCATGCTTCAGAGTAACAAAGTTAGCCTTGATTTTGAGGACTGTTTAATTTATTAAAGTGCTGGAAAGTACCTGTAATCGTCAGCATTTAGGAGTGGCATCTGTTATTCCATAGTCAGTTCACATGACAAATTACAAAAAAGAGGTCCATGTACCCATAGAACGAGGCAAGAAAACTTGATCTTGATAATTTTATTGTTCTTTTTTTACTTGAGGCCTGCACCGCTTTTGAAAAACGTCCAGTTGTCAGAGTCGAAGGCACGGGAGTTGTACCTGCAGGTGATTCAGTACATGAGATCAATGTATCAGGACGCTAGACTTGTCCATGCGGATCTCAGTGAATTCAACATGCTGTGAGTGTGCTTTGTTTCCTGGGAAATTCCCATTAGTTCTGTCCAAATCCATAGTCAGCTGTGTTCTGTTGGCTTCCCCATGATAGGAATTAAGATGTGGTCACTGCCTTCAGTGATGTTAGTCACAGAGGAGACCATTGTGAATGAAAGACTGAGGTTATAGCTTGGTTGGTAGAACGAGTGCCTAGTATGTGTGAGGCTTTGGATTCTGTCTCCAGTACCACAAGGTGTCAGGGGAGGGATGCATTTTTAGCTGACTTAATGGGCTTTGAAATTTTCTCAGTTTTCCATCTTTTTATTAATCAAGATGACCCTTTCTTATCTGCTGTACTCATTTATGAATTACTTAAGGTGGACTTTTTTTTTTTTTTTTTTTTTTTTTCCTGAGACAGGGTTTCTCTGTAGCTTTGGAGCCTGTCCTGGAACTCGCTCTGGAGACCAGGCTGTCCTTGAACTCTCAGAGATCCGCCTGCCTCTACCTCCCAAATGCTGGGATTAAAGGCATATGCCACCACTAACAGGCTAAAGTGGAATTTTTAAGCCAGATATAGGCTTATCTGTAATCGCTGCATTTAGGAAGTGAAGGCAAGAAGATTAAGAGTTTGAGGCTAGCCTGTGCTACATAGAGAGACCCTATTCAAAACAAACAACATAGACACAGAGTGTCTACATAGCTTGGTTGCACTAGAACTCACTTGATCAGGCTGACCTCAAAGAGGTCTACTTGCCTTGCCTCATGAGTGCTGGGATTAAAGGTGTGTGCCACTACACCAGCTAAAAAAAGTGTGAGCCCAGACTTGCCTTCAATTCTGGCCTGGTCCTCCCGTCTTTGCCTCCTTCAGCAAATCCTGCCAGTGTGTGTCACCACCTCCAGCTTCAAAATAGATTAAAAACAAACAAACAAGACTATAGCAGTAACATGTAGCCTCTGTGCTTGTTGTCCACAAGGTACCATGGTGGAGATGTGTACATCATTGATGTCTCTCAGTCTGTGGAGCACGATCACCCACACGCGTTGGAGTTTTTGAGAAAAGACTGTGCTAACGTCAATGGTGAGCAGAGAGTGGCATTTCCTGGCAGCGTCTGTGCATGCATATGTGGAAGGTCTTGTCACTTGGAGTGGGAGTGTCGTCTGGCATTAGAACACTTCGTTTGCCTCTCAAATGGAAGACCTTATATTTGATCCATAGCACTGACCGTGCTACTGGCTGGAGATGCTCCATTTTTATATCTTTTTCTGTTTCCCAGTAGGAGTAGTAAGTATTCTCTTTGTAGAACTGTCATTAAGGTTCTTCTTTCTTGACAGATTTCTTTTTCAAGCATGCTGTGGCTGTCATGACTGTTAGGGAGCTCTTCGAGTTTGTTACGGATCCTTCCATCACTCCTGAGAACATGGATGGTTATCTTGAAAAGGTGAGATGGGCTGAGATGAGGAATAAGTATGACTTGCCTTTGTGTGCACATCTGTGGGACTCGGGTTGCTTAGTGTAATTATTCATTTCCATAACCTCTTAGCACTTCTTATTTCACAGTGAAATTAGAAGTAGCAAAGATGCCAGTAAAGCCAGGTTTCTTGACTTCTCTCAAGATTACAGAGATTATCAACTTCCATGAATGTTTAGTAAGAAAACTGCTAGGGTATGTGGCAAAATATGCATGACATTAAGTACTAAGCCCTAAATGCATTTAAGTTAATGTGCAAGCCATTAGTTTTCTATCTTTAGAATTTATTTTTTTTTTAATCATCAAAGAATGAAACTGTACTTACTAACCCCCACAGTGTTCTGGGAACTACCGTTCTGGTGTCATTCTTGGTACTGCTAATAAGTAAAACCACATACTGTGATTTTTATTTTTTATTTACGTATACATATGTGTGTTTGTGGGACTGTATCCTATGTGTGTAAAGATGCCCAAGGAGGCCAGGAGAAAGTATTAGATCACCTGGTGCTAGACTTGCAGGTGCTTATGAGCCACCTGAAGTGTGTGTTGGGAACCAAACTCAGGTCCTCTGGAAGAGATGCAAGCACTCTTAACTATATTGAGCCATCTCTCAGCTCCTTGTTTGTCCTTTGTAGCTGGCTTACTTTGCTCATCTTGCTCAGTGTTCATCTATGTTCTAGTGTGTGACAGGATTTCCTTTCTTATTTAAGGCTAGATAATAGTCCATTTGTATGGACCATATTTTGTCTATATTCTCATCTGTCAAGTAGACATTTAGGATCTCTTCCTCATGTTTCCGTTTCATGTTTCCCTTTTCCCTAGAGTGTCTTTCCATCTTAGCTTTAGTTCATCTTGCTCTGCCTGGTAAATTTTGAAACTCAGGTCAGAAAACTGTCTCAAGGAAAAATTCAGGAGAAGCACTGTTTGCAGGGGTTTGTTTTCTCTTAAAAAAAGAAAAAAAATTGAGTCAGTGTTTCTTGTATCCCAGGCTGCCTCAAACTGTGTATAACCACAGATGAATGTAAACGTTTGATTCTGCTGCCTCTGCTGAGTTCTGAGATTTTTGTTTTTGTTTTTGTTTTTTGAGACAGGGTTTCTCTGTGGCTTTGGAGGCTGTCCTGGAACTAGCTCTTGTAGACCAGGCTGGTCTCAAACTCACAGAGATCTGCCTGCCTCTGCCTCCCGAGTGCTGGGATTAAAGGCGTGCGCCACCAACATCCGGCTGAGTTCTGAGATTTTAAGTGTGCACCACTACACCTACTTTATGCAGTGTTGGGATCAAACCAAGGGCTTGGTGCATGCTGTGCCAGTATTCTTAACAATTGAGCACATCTCCAGCCATTTATTTGGTTGGTTGGTTTGGTCTCTTTGTGGAGTGTTTGTTTCTTTGAGATAAGGTCTTACTCTGTAGCCCTGGCTGGCCTGACCTTAGCTGTGCACCACCATGTTTGGCAGATTAGGAATCCTTGAGGGACAGAAATTTTATTTGTATATTGTCAGTACCTGATTATATATTAGGTAATTACATGTTGTCTTAGTTAGGGTTTCTATTTTTGTGAAGAGACACCATGATCATGGCAACTAGTCCGTTATCTTCATGGAGGGAAGCATGGATGCACACAGGCAGACATGGTACTAGAGAGGTAACTAAGAGTTCTACATCTGGATTGGCAGGCGGCAGGAAGAGTGACACTGGGCCCGACTTGAGCTTCTGAAACCTGTAAGCAATACAAGCAGAGACACACTTCCTCCAGTAATGCCACACCTACTCCAACAAGATCACATGTCCTAATCCTTTCAAATAATGCCACTCCCTATAAGCTTATAGGGTCCGTTTTTAATTCAAACCACCAATCATGTATTGACTGAGTAACTATCAAAGTATTTTTATTCCTAAACTGTGAGTATTGAGTCTAGTGTCTGTATTTAAAAATAAAACAGAATAAATGTTCCTTCCTTCTCTATATATTTCTAAAAGATATATTTTTATTTTAATTATGTATACATGTGGGTATGTGCATGTGTGTGTAGATGCTTGTATAGGCCAGAGGCATTGGATGCCCCTGTAGCTGGTGTAATAGGCAGTGTTAGCTCCCCAGTGTGGGTATTAGGAATTGAACTCTGGTCCTCTAGAAGTACCGCACATGCTCTTAGTGACTGAGCCACCTCTCTGGCCCTCTCCTTGTATGTATTTTAACTAGATAACTTTTATAAGTCAGAAGAACCCTGTATAGGGTCTTGGTTGCCTCTGTTCCAGTCACTGCCCGAGGGGTTTTCTTGGTGTAGTAGTATTAGTGATTCATTTCACTGACTTTCAAGAATCAGGAAATGGTTCGTGCCATCCGTGGTGGTGCACACCTTTAATGCCAGCACTTCGGGAGTATAGGAGGAAAAAAGAAGGAGAAATGGTTCATTATTGGGTCTCAGTTTTTCTCTGATAAAGATTTTTGCTAATAGCTTAAGTTTTTTAAAAAAGCCTTGTTTCCTAGTTGTCTTGGCCATGATTTGGGTATGGGTGTGAGTGATGCCAATGCTGGGATGTGGTGCTTTGGATAGTCTACGTCATTGTTCCACCACTAAGCTGCACCGCACTGGTGATCTTGAAGAAGGGGACTAAAGATAACTTGAGACTACAAGGGTTTATTGTTTCTTTTTAAATGACTTACAAGTCTTTGGTAGAGAGCCAACCTACATTGTAGAAGCTCACTGCAGGTACTTTGAGAAGTGTGAAGACACCTATTAAGATAAAAAAAAATAATAATAATTCATTACAAAATAGAAAATGTGTCTTTTCTAGGGTGAATGTAAAAATAATTTTTTGCTTTCTCTCAAAGGCCATGGAAATAGCATCCCAAAGGACCAAGGAGGAAAAGACTAGCCAAGATCATGTGGATGAAGAGGTGGGGTTTATTATGATTCCACAGTCTTGGGAATACATGGGGGTTTTGCTGTAGAACTGTGGGGTGTTCCTTCATGTGTTTTGAGACAGGGTCTTTTCAGATAAACCAGACCGTACTAGAACTTGATATTTAGTACAGGCTGGCCTCAAACCCACACTCATTCTGCTTCAGCTGCCTGACTGCCAGGATAACAGGTGTGTGCCACCATTCCCAACTAATTCTTGTGTTACAGGGTTTTCCATGTTTTTATTTTTGTTGGTAAAGCATGAACTTGATTTTATAGGTAGGTAAATGGCATATAATTTACATTCAATTATATTGTTGTATTCAGGAACCTCTTAGCCTATTGTTTAGTAAAATTTTGAAAGAGCTTATGGGGTGTGTGAGTCGAGGAGAAAAGACTATTAATTTGCAAGTATAAATTTTTAAATGACCTATTACTGATTTTATAAATATAACAGACTATATATATTGATAATTTGTTAAAAAAATAAAATCAAACTAGTCCTTTAAGTCAAGACATCTTTATTAAAGTCCAGTAGGCTTATTATACTATATTGATTATTGTTTTAATTGTAGTTTATTCTGCTTAGAAGTTTTGTAGCAGCTGGGTGGTGATGTCCTGTATAGTAAGAATATGTGTGTGTTCAGTTGCTCACAGGCAGGCAATTCTTGCAACTTCATCTTATCCTTCCTCCTTGGAAGATGCTTTTTGAAATTAGGATGTGTGGGAGGAGTGTTATTCTAAGGCTCATCTGGAATACACTCTTTTCTTCCTTAAATCAGTTGTAAAATTTTATTTTTATCTTACCTAATTGTTTTTAGCTTACCACATAGCAGACACAAAACCAATGGGTACAAATGTTGGAGATGATTAATAAAGGTTTCTGCATGATTGATAGAGCTAAGGATACTGAAGGGATGGAAGAGTATAGGAATAACAGTTTAATTTTTGCTTTCCTCTATTAGGTGTTCAAACAAGCATATATTCCCAGAACCTTGAATGAAGTGAAAAATTATGAGAGAGATGTGGATATAATGATGAGGTTGAAGGAAGAAGACATGGCTTTGAATACTCAACAAGATAATGTGAGTAGCTTGGTTTGTCTACAGAGCTACTTCTCACAGAAGAAACTGTCCCGAGCTTACTCCTGGCTTGTGCTAGTGAGGTGGTCAGCTCCATACATGGTAACTGTAAAGGGGACACTTCTGGATTTGGGGGTGGGGGCGCAAGGGTGATGCATTTGCCTGTGTTCAGAGAACTATAATTGGTAAAAAGGCAGATTCACAAAGAAGTCTAGGATAAAAATATTTGTAATAGATTGATAAGCTATGCTTCATTTCCATACACATTTGAAGAGATGTTTAAAATATATTTACATTGTTTTTGATTATGTGTGTATGTATTTGGGAGGTGGTCTGTGCACATGAGTGAATTTGGGTGTCCTTGGAAGCCAGAGGTGTTAGGACCCCTGGAGCTGGAGTGAAGAGAGGTTGCGAGCCTTCCCACACAGATACTGGGAACCAAACTTGGGTCCTCTGCACAAGCAGAACAAGTTCTTAGCCCCTGTGCATCTCTTCAGTCCCCTTGAAATATTTTGTTGTTGTTGTTGTTGGACCCTTGTTGTAACCCTTGAGACTTTGCAGCCATGTAGAAAAACCGTGGCTGTTTATGTAAGTTTTTATATAAAGACAGAAGAAATAAGTCTCCAGATTTTCAATCATGAAGCAAAAGCATTTAAAAATATATTACTGTGTGTGTTAGGTGCGTGCATGAGAGCATGCATGCCATGGTGCCTATAGGAAGGCCAGAGGACAGCTTTATGTGGTCACTTCTCTCCACCCTTGTTTGGCTTCTGAGAATTGTAGCAGGCTTTCATGGCAAATGCCTTTACCTGCTGAGCTAGCTGTCTGGCCTAAACACACTTAAAAAGTTGAACTCTGTGTGTCTGTGTGATTGCATGTCCACATTGTGCATGTGCTCTCATGCCAGAAGAGGCTGCGGGGCCCTTGGAACTTTCTGAGCCATTGAATATAGGTGCTGGGATCTTAACTCTGGTCTTCATGGTCGAGCGTCTTGCACTGTTAATCACTGAGCCATATTTCCAGCCCCTTGAAAGCACTTTTAGTAATAACTACAACTCTTGCCATGCAGACCTACTGATGAGAGTAGAATAGCACTGTTTGTGGAGTGGGTAGCATTTCACTGAAAAAAAGTTCAAAGTTAGTATTTGCTGTCACCTGGTGGGTTGCAGGTGCAACCTGAAAACTATCAGGCTTTGATTGTATTGGGCCTGGGTATGCATACCTGGCGTACAAGAACGGTGCAACCTAGTTTCTGTGTTACTATGTGATAGGTTTTATGTAACTTGAGTTCTAATAGGTCTTAGTAATAAAAGTAGGGAGTCAGATATAGGGGAAAATGCTGAGAGATCAGAGAGAAAAAGGAGCAAGCCAAAGCCGCCTTTCCAGTGGAAAGGAGATGGAATTCCTGTTTCCTCCTGATACATGCCTCTCTGCACCCAGCCATGTCACTTCCTGTCTGTCTGTTAGCTAGTGGCGAGCTCCACCCTCTGATCTTCAGGCTTTATTTGTACAGACAAGATATCACCACAGTTTTGAGTACATTCTCAGAATCATAGGAGGCAGTGTTGTGTCCAGTGTTTAATGGTGTAGTATGTACATATCATTGTTAATTTTTATGTTTATTCTTTTTCTTTTTTGTTACAAGATTCTATACCAGACGGTCACGGGACTAAAAAAAGATTTGTCAGGAGTCCAGAAGGTATGGAGAACATGTGTTACTATTGCTTTACAGCACATTTATTATTCTTGTGTATGTACTCATAAGTGTGCCACATGTATGGTGGGTAGCCAGAAGACTATTTTCGGGAGTTGATGGCTCTCTCCACTTCCCAGGTCTTTGGAATCCAACTTAGATTCTCAGGCTGTCTGATGAGCCATCTTGCCAGCCTGTGGAAACTATGTTTAGAAGGTATAAAACTTACTGTAAAGTAGTATTAGAATTAAATTTGGAAATGAACCTGTTTTTCTGTCCCTGAATTCTTCTGTTAAAAGTGAAATATTTGTCTTTAATCCTGACCTGCTTTGGTTGGGGTATTACTCATAGGCTTACAATCTTTTTGGGAGTTTTTACAATCAGTTTTAAAAAATGTCAGCGCTGGAGAGATGGCTCAGCAGTTGAGAGCTCTTGCTCTTCCAGAGGACCTAGTTCAGTTACCATCACTCACCTGCTTACCTTTAAGAAAAGAAAATGAAAAGTTCAAGATCAGCCTGGACTGTGTAGTGAGATTCTGTTTTGAAAAAGAAAAACAAAGTTAAAGAAATGTGGTAAATTTCAGGGAAAATGAAACTTTGTCTTGGTTGACTGTTCATTTCATTAAATTACTTATTGCTAGTAATGTGGTTTATAGAAAAACAGTTGTGAAGTCACCCAAATAGATTTTCATTATTGTTGTTATCATCATCATCACCATTGTTATTATTACTATTATTTGCCTCTGTATTTCACATCCTTTCCAAATCTGAACTTAGCCATCTGGCTTGCTGAAAGCAGCAGCAGACTTGCATTGTTGATTTAGGTCACCCATATAACCCTGCAGTCAGGCATGTGCCCAGCCTTTAGCAGTGGATCGCATGCGTGCCAGGATAGCTGTGAATGTAGCCCCACACATTAGTAGATGACAGCGTCATGTTGCAGTGTCAAAAGATTGAACACCTTGTGCTAGTTCCTTTATTTACGAATGTTCTTGAGTCCTACCGGAGTGAATGGATGTTGTCCGTCTTTCTCCCTGATGTTGATTCTGCTATTTTGATGTTTCAGTGCGTGACTTCAAAGTGTACCTGGCATACTGATATAAAATGCTGGCAGTAGCATGCTGCCTAACAAATAGATAAGTAACATGGTTCTGTAATAACTTCAAGGTCCCTGCACTCCTAGAAAGTGAAGTTAAGGAAAAGACCTGTTTTGGTTCAGAAGATTCTGGAAGTTCTGAGTGCTCTGACACAGACTCTGAAGAGCAGGAAGACAATGCCGGATGCAAAAAGCACACTGCTGACCCTGACCTTGATAAAAAGGTTAGCCAAGATCTTTATTTCTCTTGAGCGTGGTGGCTCAGAAGCATCAATAATGCCTTTATTAGTGTTTGTTTATCAAAACAGGGTTTCTATGTATAGCCCTGGGTATCCTGGAACTCGAGTCAAATCAGGCTGTCCTCAAACTCAGATATTCACCTGCCTCTGCCTCCCGAGTGCTGGGATTAAAGATGTGGTGCCTTTAATTGTAGTTTCCATAACTAAATATGAACCTTGCTTGTGGAGTAAATTAGAGACTTGGCTGCTATTGGTAGCTTCTTCAGTGTCTCACTGAGGACACTGAGCAAATATTTTTTCTTTCTAGTCTTTATTTCTCTTAAAATATGGAGCTTGTAAACATCAAGTAACATACAGGGATATTGATTTGACTATATGCAGTTTCAGCAAAGTTCAAGGGTCAAGGTGTAGTTCAGTGATAGATGGGCTGGGGTCTGGGTGGGGGCAGAGGGGATGGATGGACAGAAAAATAACCCTCATAGGAAGACAGATACCTATCCTAGCATGTGGGAAACTGAGGTGTGGAGGGGCATGGGTGGCTGCTTCGTCATTTGAGCCTCAGGAGTTTAAGAACAGTCTGGACAGCAAAGTAAGACCCTCCTGAGGGAGGGAAGAAGGCAGGGATATTGGGGTGGAGATGGAAAAGAGTGAGATGGAGGGAGCCTCAAAAAAAAGTTGTTACCCCAAGATTCACCAAACTGTAATTGTTATTTATTTATTTATTTATTTATTTCCGAGACAGGGTTTCTCTGTGGCTTTGGAGGCTGTCCTGGAACTAGCTCTTGTAGTCCAGGCTGGTCTTGAATTCACAGAGATCCACCTGCCTCTGCCTCCCAAGTGCTGGGATTAAAGGTGTGCTTCACCAACGCCTGGCTTGTAATTGTTATTTTTATGCTACATTTACTTTTAACCTGTTAGCATAAGAACCTTAATTTAGTTCTAATAATAGTCTGAATTCTCTGAATGAATGGAATTTGTTGGGGGTGTGTTTGCTCTTTACAGGAAAGAAAAAAGATGGTCAAGGAAGCCCAGAGAGAGAAGAGGAAAAATAAAATCCCTAAACATGTGAAAAAAAGAAAGGAAAAAACAGCAAAGGCCAAAAAAGGCAAATAGAATGAAGAGTTATGTTATGGACATCTCTCAGTTACTTTGAAACCTCAAGTAGAAGTTGTTGCTGAAGGGTGGCTTCTTTACCACATCTGAGTCTTTACCATCTCACTGTTGGGGAAGACTGGGGCATGGTCATGTGATTGCCTCAAAAGCCCAAAGCCCATCATGTCGGGATCCCGTCAGTCCCTGGCTCTGCTTTTAATGGATTTATTAAATAACTATTTTATATATTTGTTTGTTCGTTTTTTCAAGACAGGGTTTCTGTGTAGCTTTGGAGTCAGTCCTAAGACTTGCTCTGTAGACAAGGTTGGACTCAGACTCACAAAGATCTGCCTGCCTCTGCCTGCTGAGTGCTAGGATTAAAGATGCGCACCACAACCACCCATACTATTTTAATGAAGAACTTTGTACATTTTATTTTTATATATTTTCTCCTGTAAACGTTTTCAGAAGCACCATAAGTATTTAAATGTGATGAACATCTACAGCCTTTGTAAAGGTGAGCATAAAGGCACTTGGACAGACTTGGGAATATTTGTTTTCTTTGTACATGCCAAAGACTCATCTGAAATCAACTGATTACGAGTGGCTTATAGCCTTGAGTTCCACTAGAAAGAGAAGTTATCTGGCCTTGGTGTTGCTTTTCACAGTAGCTCTCTGCTCTTACGTGTTCTGGTGCTTTTTGTCATATGATCCCACTTTGTCTTTAATATACCTTTTCTAGCCAGACCTCTCAGCTCATAAGCCATTTCACATCCAGCCATTTGTCATGTTCATTTGCTCATCAAACATTTAGGTGTTTTAGGTAGTGGGAGATAGAGCAGTGAATAAAGCAAAATTACTTTCTTTGAATAGTTTGCTTTTTTTTTTTTTTTTTTTTTTTGGTTTTTCGAGACAGGGTTTCTCTGTGTAGCTTTGGAGCGTATCCTGGCACTCGCTCTGGCTACCAGGCTGGCATCGAACTCACAGAGATCCGCCTGCCTCGGCCTCCCAAGTGCTGGGATTAAAGGCATGCACCACCAATACCTGGCGAATAGTTTGCATTCTTATAGGGAAATGAAACATTAAACAAAATAAATGACATTCTTCCAAGAGGTTATACATTATATATATAGTGCTGAATAAAGAGAATGCCTAGGGAGACAGAGGCAGCACAGTGAGATACTTGACAAAATACTCAAAGCTGAGTTGCACTGAGCTTCCTGGCACTACAATGGCTAAATGGAAGAATTCTAAATTCTGGCCAGCCTGGGCTATTTAAACAGATGAGGATCCAAACAACAAAGCCAAGTCAGGTACATCAGAAGGAAGAATACTCCAAGCAAAGCAAACAGCCAGGGGAAAGGCCCTGCAGCAACAGGAGGTCTACAGTGATCAGGGCTGCAGCATCAGAATCAAAGGGTGAGGGGGTCATCTTGAGATCTGACCGTGTACTACCTGTGGAGTTTTTAGCAGAGGAGTGACAGGATCATACTTGTATTTTGGAAGCATCACCCTGGCATCTGGAGAATTGAAGAAGAGGTGGAAGATGATTGGCTGTGCTTGTCAATCCAGGTGAAGGATGCTGGGAGCTTGGCCTAGGATGCTAGAAATGGATGTGTAGTTACCTTAAGGGAACAGATGAGTTAGAACAAAATAGTAAAAGGCGACTTCGGGGGTTTATGACCCAAGACGGCCCTGAGACCATGAGTTACTGTGATGAGAGAGATGTGGGTGGGGTAGGCTTACTGGTAGGATCAATGCACACAGCAGCCCAGGGTTTCTCTGTAGATGCAGCTTCCAGCCACTTATTTGATGGTGGGTTATAGTGGGGAGCAGCTGAACTCTGATCATCTCAGAACATGGTCCTTTCTGCTTTAAAGCTCAAAATGTGAAATGGGATTTTAGTGAAACACCAAAGTAGTCCTTCTAAAACAGCCCACTTTACACAATACTGAGAGCAGACTTACCAGCTCTGTGCACAGTTTAGTTGTCTTCCAGATCTTCTGATTCACTTAGATAAGTTTATGTGGATTTGTATTTTACCTTTAAAAAATGCCTTCTGTTGTCCCAGCCTCATGTGGACTCAAAGCTAAGTCAAAGCATCATTGTGCCTGTTGGTACACGGGGCTATAGCCTAAGTTGATGTCTTGAATCCTAAATGTCCCCCCAAAGGCCATATGTTAAAAAGCTTGGTCCCAAGTTCATAGTGGTATTGCTGAGTAAGGGTAGAACCGGGGAGGGGGCTGAGGTCATTGGGGGTGTTCTTGCTGGAATATTGGATCCTGGTGCTTTCCTTGCTGCCTGGCCATGGTAATACAAGCAGCTTTCCTTTAAAAGACCCCCAGACCCCTAAGGGCCTTAGGATCCCAAGGAGCCCCCAAGACTCAGAAACCAGACCAAGAGCTGCAAAAGCAAGAGGGTTTATGCGCATTCGGGTGTCAGCAATATCGGGGAAGCTGCACACCCCAGCATGGGGTGTAAGCTCCTTATATAGGAAAAACCCTCAGATCAGCATACAGGCAAGGGGTACAAAGCGATTGATTATAAAGTGATTGATTATAAAGTATGATTTTATATTAATGAGGTCACCTAGGTGTGACCTGGTTTTCTACAAAGGAAAAACCATAGAATGTACTCTGGAGAGTCCTTGATTGTCTGCTGGCCGGCGAGGTGTGACCCAAACAGAGTTGTCTTGGCGATCGCCCCCGTCTAAACCATAGGATGTGCCCGGGGCCAACTGCCTTGTAATGGGCCAAGGCCTGTGGGAAACTTTCTCTCTCTGTGAACTAAAATCTTTCACCTTCACCACTGCCTTAGTGTACTGCACAAGTCAGAAGGAATGGTTCTGTTGTTAGTTCCTTTGGTCTTTTTCCTTCATAATCCACCTTTACTACAGGTACTCACTGCGACAGTTGAACTGTTTCTATCTGGCATTTTGCACAGCCACAAAAAACTTGACACATGCCCTCTGCATTATGAAATCCAGACTCCACTTATGGAAGAGGCTAGGGAAAATGTATGTTCAGAAATGCGAATGGCACTTTTGGTTTTACCTAGATCTCCATTTTTAAAACATAGCATTGACCAGTCATGGTGACACTATTTTAATCCCAACACTGGGGTGATCGAGGCCAGTCTGGTGTACATAGCATGTTCAGGCCAGCCAGAGATATGTAGTCACTGACTGAGTGAGGCCTGTCTTACACACTTGGTGTAGTACTGTCTTCTCTGTTCCTGAGCTCCTGCAGACTTTATCATTCTACTCTAAGTTATTTTTCTCTAACTATCAATGACAGTAATTTGCATATTGAATTTACTTACATATATTACCTCAGGCCAGAATGTAAGCACCCGAGGGCTGGGATTTGTCTTTGTTATTTTGTATGCCAGCATTTGTCATGTGCTGAGACTGTCAACTCAGTAGATACTTAAATGATGTTCTGTTAACTAAGCAAAGACGAGGGTATCACACGTGCCTCTTATTCGTAATTGATGTGCTCAGTGTGCACCCCTCAGGCTTGCAATAAGGCCACCCGGCTACCACGGGAAGTACTCAACCTCAGGTTACTTCACTCAATCCCAGTACATACTCTGATGTCTTGGCAGGGAACGTTGCCAAGGTTTTCTGAGGGATGGGCTGCCAGCTCTAGTTTAAGCTCCCTTACTTGTTCTGATATCCTGCTGTGGCACTGGGAAGTCACTTTAGGGAAGAAATCCTCTTGGGTGCTGGGACTTGGACCAAATGATTACAAAAATATCTAAAATTCATTCACTTGTCATGTTTCATGCTGGCTTCTAACTCCCTGAGTAATCAAGGATGGCCTTGACTTCTGATCCTCTTGCCATTGCTTTTTTCCCAACTGTTAGGGTGTGGCACCACACCCTCTTGCTTGCCTCTCTCTATAGAGACTACGAGACCTAGGAGAATGGAGCCCATAAATGAGATAGACTAAAGTCTCGAGCAGTAGCCAACTTTACACTCGAAGGGTTAAGAACTGTCACATGAGTAAAGCTGTCCAATCACAAAAATGTTTCCATAGAGGCATAGAAACAGGTAACAATGGCCAGCTGTGACCAATAATCTGAAACCCACTCTCTTCTATCGGTTACACCTGGGAGGAACACCCAAAACAAGAACAATTCCATGTTTTGAAGAAACTGAGGTCACATGACTCTTGTTTCTTGGGAGTTTTTTCACAAGTGCTCGGAAATCTCACATGACTCCATTCTTGAATCATGTCCTGACATCCTGTTGTATATAGTGTGGGGATTAAGCCCAGGGCTTCCTATGGGCTGTGCAAACACAAACTGACACCACCCCCAGCCTGGAATTATTTTAAAATCTATGAGATTGATGTGATTTTTTGTTTGTTTGTTTTTGTTCCTGAGATGGAGTCTCGCTGTGTTGTCCTGGCTGATCTCAAACTCACAAAGAGCAAATCAATGTTTTTAAAAAGACTGTTTTCACTAAAGGGCCAGGTTGAAATCACGTCTTGTTTATTAGAACTAAAATAAACAGATTTAAAGTGCAGGCTACCATACAGGTCAGGTTTGCTATTACATAAATTAGGCAGCCTTTACTATGCCATTTTGCCATGGGAATGCTGTTAATTGTCCTTCAAGTCATCTTGTTCCACTAGAGGGAGACATGTTCATGAATTCTGATGTTTAACTGGCATGATTGGCAGGCAGCAGATGCACTAAGTGGGAGAGCTGTACTACACAGGGGATACCAAAGTAGCCACGTTCATCTCTTCCCTTAAGACTAACTGGCCCAGTAATGGCACATTTGGTGCTTGGCTTCTAAATTAGGCCCTGTTTAGATCCCCTGACAAATTGCTACTCTGCTAATCAAGAGTTAAGCCAGATGTGGTAAAGCACACCTCAATCTCAGCATTGGGGGACAGAGGCAGGACGGTCCCATGTTGGTGGTTAGCCAAGATCAGACCTTGTCTCAAAACCACAACAGAAGAGGGGTTTTCACTTGGAAATAATGCCTATGCAGTAAGATGTTTAAAGAAACACACCCCTGAAGGGCCATAGACTCACGGGGTAGTGTGCTGTTCAATGCTAATACTTCATCTTGCTGGGCCTCGGTTTCCTTTCTCAGCAATCAAATCAAGACTGAATGGAGAAGGGCCAAGAGGCTGCACTGTTCAGGGGCTGCAGTACACTGGGAGCATAGCTGGTGGAAAAGTCACTTGGAGAACAATGAAGTAATTAACTTGTTAATGTTGAGAACATGTCA